CTGCACGTCCGTAGTTCCTGCTAGCAGTGGCTGGCCATCAAGGGTCATGACACCTCTTGTCCGGCTGACCCAAATGCTGACTCCCCAGTGCTTCGATCCCTCTGTCGTGAGCCGGAGATAGTGTTTTGACCGGCAACAGGAGGCTGGTTGCTTGACTTCCTGCAGCATGAAAATGTTGCACTGGAGCTCCTCAAGCTGCTGCTCGTAGAAGGGGTGCTTCTGCTGCATGCCCTGTGCGTTCAATGACCGTGAGGGAAAAATCCGCCGGGGCGTCGCCCTGCCCCCATTCTTCGGACGTCGCAGGGAGTACTTGCTCCGGCCGCAGTGGCTCTGGGTTTGTCTCATCCCAAGTCGGGCTCCATACCAAACTTCCTGCGGAAATCGGGAGGCTTCGGCGGCGGTGGGCGTGTAAAGCCACCGCCGCCCAGCTCAAGTCCGCATCTAGAAACGCCCGGCATGACGCCGCCTATGGGGGTGCCACTTGACAGCGATTTTCGTGCCCCTTGCTTCGCGACCACATCGGCCAGTTCATTCCACGGCTCCCCAGTGTGTGCCTGAACGTGGGCCATGTGGATGCCTTCCGGGATGTAGTGTCGGGCAACCAGCTCGAGGAGATGAACCTGCTCAGCAAAGGGGTCGGTGGGGGTCCAATCACCCGTGGCCGCCCAGCCGGCCGCGTAGCAGTCGAAGTGGCAGTGGTATCTGAGCCCTGGGATGGCTGCATTGAATTGCAGGCTCCATAGGATGGCCACTGCTAGGGCAACCTGCTCAGCTCGAAGTGCTCCGGCCAATTCGGTCCTTGTGGGTCATGAAGACTGCCACCGATGAGCCCAATTAAAGCACAGCAGGCGCCGACCTTGAGTAGGATCGTCACTCCGAAACCCAACCGCTTCTGTGGGCTGTCCGCCGAACCATCTGTGTAGATATGGAGGGCGGCTTCCTTGGCCTCGAGGAGCCTGGGTAGAAGAGCCGTCCATGGTAGTAGCTCGTCCACCGCCCTGGCCGTCTCTTCTTTGAGGTCGATCTTCGCAAGGTCATACTCAGCCCATAGAGGGGGCCATGGCGTGAGGATCTCCCCTAGGTGTTCAGAAGCGGCCGGGAGCGGGACCTGGTGGGCCATCAGATCATAATTTGGCGGAGGAACGATGGTCGCAAGCTTGAGTTGTTGCACACCCAAGCCGTCTGCTTCGTCCCCGTTGGTCTGACCATTCTCAACAGCAGCCTGGGTGGTCGAGATGTTCTGGCCCTCGAAATCGGTCGGTCTTCTCCTCGGGGAGCGGCTGCGATTAACCGGCCGTGGTGGCGGTGGACCCCTCGGGGATCGATTCATTATACCAGGCGACGGAGTGGTGAACTCGCTGGAATCCGGGAGGGCATCTCTGGTAGAAGAGCTGTCACTTCCGTCCATATCATGATCATCATCCTCATCATCAGGTCCCCCGCCATTTGGTGGAGATAGGGACCGGTCCGGGGAGGGCGTGAGCTCAGCCTCTTCCTTGAGGAAAAAGTTCAGGACCTCACAATGTGCGACCTTGAGTATTTCAGGGTCCCCGGTCAATTCACCTCCCTCGACAACGACCGTCCATCCATCAACCTTAGGTGCCGCGATGCCCTCCAGGTACTCCGCCGAGTTGAAGAAGGGTCCGGGTAGTAGAACCCATTGTGGGAAGAAGCCCAGCCCTCGGAGATCAAGAAAGAGGGTCGTGGCCTCGGGGTCGTCCTCCTGGGTACTGGCCGGTCCTGGGTTCACCGCAATCTGCGTCTGAATGCGGCGCCCAGCATGCGTAAGCGACTCGATCGGGGGCCGAGGCTGGGCAATCCAGCATTGCCCTTGCCTGAAGCCCATCAACTGTTCTGCCAGGGCCTCCCTGTGCATGTCAGCTCCTGAGATGTCATAGTACACCAGCTCTCTGGGCTCTGGTAGACGACGTAAGGGTCCTGATTGTCCCCAGGCAGCCCTAGTCGCGGGTTCCAGCGAACTGGGTCTATCAGCCTTGCCTCAAGGGGTGCCTCCCATTGGCACGGCTGATCCTTGTACACCGCCTGCACAACTCCGCCCTGTATGGGTTGCCGTGCTCCGTCCTCCAGAGCGGTCCGATCGCCGAAGACATAGATGTCCACATTGTGCTCGTCGTCCTCTGGCACCTGCTTGAGCAGGGAGTCTTTGGTGACTGGCCCCTCATGGTAGAAGGGGAAGACCTCCCCTCCTATCGGCCTGTTGTCCATGACGAAGACATATTTCCCCACGGCAGGAATCCATGATGGTATGGCAACGAAGCTCCCATGTAGCTGGGCTATCTGCGGCACCGTCGGTAGTACCGTCTCCGCCCATTCCGGCATGTGAGCACTGGTGTTTTTGATGGCGTCACACAGCCTGCGAACTGACAAAGGAAAGGAGATGCCTATGTCGATCGCCTCGACTTCGTAGAAGGGTGAGGCCAGCCAGGCGGATATGTGTATCGCCCGTCTCTCATCATCGGCGATGGTGTGCTCCACGTTGTGCTCCGTCTCGGCCGGAATGTGGTATGTTGGAGGAGGTGCTTCGCCTCCCGAATGGTGGAGTGGCCTGGTTAGAGCGATGTGTTGCTCCGCCCTTGCCAGCTGTTCGCGAGCCGCCAGCTGGCCAGACATCCACAGTTCGAGATCAGTTTGCCGGGGGGGTGGCGGACCCATCCAAATACTTGCATCCTCATTTGTACTTGCGCCACAACATGGCGCAACCTGAGGGGGCGTCATAGCCCGGGCCGTCGTGAGAACACCGAAGGCCAATGCCAAACCTGGGTGTCCTCCCAGAACAAGGGCTCTAGTACGACGACGTAACGGCCTCCGACCTCCAATGCCCAAACACAGCATAGACATGAGGGAGCCGAGCTGAATCAGGTAAAGGCTGGCACACCATCCAGCAGCAAGAGCACCAACCATCTCCTCCTCCGAAGAGATCTCCAACTCGCCAGCCAACTCTGCCACACGCCTGGCCTCGAGCTTCTCCGCCAGGCCACTGCCAGCGACCACGGTTTTGGTCGGCTGCCTCCCAATCTGCTTGATAGGGATCCTGGTGGAAGTACGCGAGCGGGCTCTTACTGTCGCATCCGGCTTCGGGCTCGCTTGGCCTGGATGGTGATGACACGTAGGGGTTCTCCTTGTGCAGCACATCCGCCTCTGCACTGTAGGAGGGTGGGGCTGAGTCCATGGCAGTCTCCGTCTTGGTGGCCTTCATTGCGTCCGTCGGTGTGGTCGGTTCCACCAGCTTGGATCTCCGAGGAGGGGTGCTGAAACCTTTGCGGTGCTCGCCTATGGCTCCCAGCAGCTGCTTCCAAACTGCTGACTTGTCGCCTCCCCCGGACTGAATCGCCCCGGCGATCATGTCCGCAAGTCCATGGCGTGGCCGCTTCTCGGGCGACTTGAGGAGCTCGTCCAGCTCGGCCAGGGCAGCGGGGTCCGCGGGCTGGCTGGGTGCTGGCTTCGGGCGTCTCAAGGTCTGCGGCTCCGTGAAGGCCAGCTGGAGCTCCGACAGGGCTTCCTCCTGTGCCTTCTCCGCTTCCTCTAGGTCGTTCTTGATCTTCAGAAGCCTGTCCTGGTACTTGGCCCTTTCCCGCACGTAGGTGTCCTGCAGCTTTTGCTTGTAGTTGATCCACTTCTGCTGCAGTTCCTCGCTCTCCTCGTCGAGTCTGCGGGCTTTGCCTTCCGCCTTTCTGAGGCCATTGAGCAGCTTCTGCACTCCCTTCACCACCATTCCACTGGTCGGAGTCTCCTCGTCGACGTCCATGTCTGTCCTGGGCCGCGGTGCCGTTCGAGAGCTGGGGCCAGGGACTTCGGCAGTCATCGTCTCGAAGGAGGGGAAGAGGTCTCTGCGGGAATCCGCCATTGGATCGCGAGGCCGACGTGGCTCTTCCGATCCCTTTGGGTTCTGTTTCCCCTTTCTTTTGCCACCCTGACGGCTCCATCCATTGTGAGCTGTGGAGCCACCAGAGGCACGCCATGCTCGCCATTCGTCGTCCGACCATTGCCCTCGCTTGCCCATAGAGTATCTGGGCGCACTATGGTGTGCCTCCAGCAGGCGGACAGCTGGGAGTGGAAGCGGCCGCCCTTCGAGACGGCAAGCTTTGATTTTTCGGCGAGCGGCCGAACGACGAAGGCGTTCCCGGCGGTGCCAGCACGGTGATCGTGGGATGGCCGTCGTGCACTGTGGCACTGGGGCTGTGGGCTATGCTGACCTCCTACCGGGCAGCTCGATCCCAAACCCTATATATATATATATATATAGAGCGTATAAATAACTAACTCTATATACATGTATTCACACTATACATATATTGGTATTGGTATGTATGACTTATGTATGCATGTGTGTATGTGTGCATGTGTGTATGCATGTATGTAAGTATGTATGTATGTATGTATGTATGTGTGTATGTGTGTACTGTATTTATGTATGCCTATTTGTTTACATATATGCATGCTTACATTTATAGACTTGTATAATCTTCTGTAAGTTTGTATACTTCTATTCATACAGTTGCTTCAAAACTTATGATGTATATGTATTTGCTATTTGTTTATGTAGTTGTACTTATTCTTATGTATCCATAGTTTGTGTCTTAGGTGTGTATATATATATATGTATATATACAAAAATCACATGTGTGTTTACGGCTTACATTGATGTTTGTATGTGTGTATATATATATATACATGTGTGTATACATATATATATATATATATATATGTATCTATTTATTTATTCTGCGAGTGGTCAACCCGAGGGTCTGAAACATGATAGGGCTTCTAATAAGGGTAGCAGGTCACCAGCCTTCAAGAACCCCAAGTAAGTGGATCCCTCCATCATGGCCCCAACACTGGATAAATACAAAAAAAACGGGATCCTTCCTATCGTGGCACTCAGCTAGTAGCCCCAAGTAAGGGGATCCTTATTCAGTGGCCCCCTACATTTACCCAAGACAACCTAAATAAAAGAACCCACCCAAATTTAGGTCGGACGCCGCAGTCGGCCCACACCACCGCGACCGGCCGCAGCCTGTGGCCGAGATAGAACCCAAGACTTACTGCAGACTTTGGGCGGGTTTGGACTTTCTTGGTGAGGGATTTCTTTGGGGTTCGATGTTTTGGACTTAGGGTGCAAGGTTTGAGGGGTTCCAGGTCATCTTCCGGCTCATTCTCCACTGTCCGAGGCTTTCAAGCGCTTCCTGCGCCGCATCAGCGGGTCTTTCGGTGCAGTGCCTTTATCTTCGAAATCAAGCAGACAAGGAAAGCCCTGAACCCTGAATCTGAACTCCACAAATTCTGCCCCATGGATCCCAAAAGGAGTCGCAACCTGACTCGACCGCAAGTGATTGCAATTGTAACTACGCGCGTGCATGCCGCTGCTTCCCTGAGTATATCTTTATCATGACATTCCCTAAACCAGAATCAATTACGTTAAGGTGGTCGTCGGCACGGTCGAAACGGTAGTGTTGATGCTTGGCGCAGGCCCCTTACCCGAAACGGCTCGTGCCTGGACCACCTGAATGCGGGACTCGAGACCATTTCGGAGCACCTGACATCTGAAGCATCTGTCTCCAGCCCATCTGACTGAAAGTGCGTTTTGGCAGTCTGCTTCGAGCCTTAGAGACCATGAAAAACATAGCCCCGCAAATGCCCCACGCGGCTCCTGCCACGCCTACTGCTTCTCCTGTGGAGCCACGGCTACGGCTGGGGGCTCATGCCATTGCTACACTTCCATTGTTTTCGATCCGCAGGCTCAGAAAACTCAGGCAACCCCGAGACGAGGGGCAATTTTGGTATTTGGAGCACCTTTCCAGGCCTTGCTTTGCGATGCCTTCTGGGAAAGAACTCCTGGAGATAACCCTAAACCCGAAGCATAACCCAAAGCCCTATCAAGGTTTGGGGGTCCAAAGGGCTCGGGTTTGATATGCATATTGCAATAAATATAGGTATAAAGATATAGATATAGACATATGTGTATATATATATATATACATACTTATGCTTATACATATATATATATGTGTGTGTGTACCTATAGATTCATTTAAAGAGCCATCGAGGCATCCGAGGCGCTGAGGCTTCTAGCAGTGCCGCCGTCGCCGGCGAAGGCTCCAGGGCCAGCACAGCGAAACCCTGCGGAAGGGTTTGGGGTTTGGAGATCTAGGGTTTAGGGGTTTAGGGTTTAGGGTTTAGGGTTTAGGGGTTTAGGGGTTTAGGGTTTAGGGTTTAGGGTTTAGGGTTTTAGGAGGGAAGGGTTTAGGGTTTAGGGTTTAGGGTTTTAGGAGGGAAGGGTTTAGGGTTTAGGGTTTAGGGTTTAGGGAGATTTAGAATCTTCAGCACTCACAACTAGACAAGCAGGCGAGGATCCGAGTACCAGAACGACGACAGCACATAGGCTACTCCCAAGCTACATTGGCTTCAGAGCTTTTGCTACTTTAGGGGTTTGGACTCTCGCACCTAGGAGAAGGTTTAGGGCCCTGCGAAGAAGCTGAGAGGGACGTCAGGTCTCATAGGGCTTTTGGACACTCGAACTCGGAGCCCGTCACCAGGCTTACGGTGTAGGGAGGGACGTTTAGACTTTATGCCCTCGCCCTCGGACTTGTCGAATGAGGTTCATGCTGAAGGTTTAGTTTAGGGTCTAACTAGTTATTACCATACTTAGCATGTCCATTGTAGCTGCAGGATCCAAACTATATATCTGGTTAAACCCAAACAAAGGAACTACAATGGAGACAATGGAGGCTACAGGGCATCCGCCACTCGGAAGTCGGACAGCTTTTCATCTCGCTGCGCGACGAAAGTCAGCTTTACAGAGTCGACGCCTCCACGCACTGCCACTGCAACTCCGTTTGAAGCAAAAAGGGGTTTTGGGGTTTAGGGTTTAGAGGCTTAGGGCAAAAATAGCAGACCCGTATCTCTATGTGATTCTGGTTGTTCAATACCGGCGAGCAGCTTGCAGGCAGATGGCTTGCGAATTCAAACTTCCAAGTTTGGTCCAGGTCAGCGGCTTCAGGTAAAGCCTGACACCAGCTGTCGCACTGCACCAAAGCTGCACAGGGGTCTGACTACCTCGTGTGCATCTGCTTACCTGATCACTCTATCCGCCCTCAAATCGACAGGACCGCGAGACCAAGTCTTGGCAGGTGTATATATATATATATATAGCATAAGTTGTACAACACCCAGTATACATTCGGGTGTATAAGAAAAGTATAGGAAAGCATTACATATGTCATGTATATTTAGACAAAAGGTATACAGTAGGTTACCAGGCTGACCCCTGTCCCTGTGCACACAAAAATGTCATCGCCGAAAGGCCGGTAGGGCTCTTCGTTGCCGAGTGGGGAACACTGAGACACTGCTGTCTTCATGACAATAAACCTTCTTTTCGAAGAATATACCGCGGAGCGAGAGTGCCCCCCTGTGGTCTAAACGCGAATCTGCACTGCCCAACGAAGACTGGAATTTTCGAAGGTAGTGACAGCCAGTGCACAGTACTCACACCAGTCCCAGCTTTCATGCAGTCCTGTACCTTGCTCAGGTAGAATGGCGCTCCTGATTGCAGCTATCCGCACCTGGCGTTCTCCGCGCTGTTAGATATGGAGCGCCAGGAGCTTTGCTGATGTGCTGCTTGCTCAAAAGCATGACAAGGCAGACTTCAAAGACTAAGTAATTTAAGTAGGTACTAATGACTAGTTGCTGCCCATTCAACACGAGGCGTGCTGTGCTTTGGCATCTTGGGTTATGAAAAGTTATGCACACAAGTCACGGTATGGAGTTGAAACCTCGGTGGCCCCTGACACCCTCCAGGTGTACGGCCAGCCGGTCAAGAGGGCGCACATGACCCGCACCAGGGGCCCATTCCCCACGTCTTTTAGGACACCACGAGCCGTCGCTGCTGCTCAAGGATTTTCTTGAACACGCAACCTTTCACAACGATCACATTGTCTTCTGGAGGATGAGATGATGCAAGCGCTTTCCACACAGACCTTCAGCGGCTTCGTGGCAAAAAGATCCAGCGATTCGACGCATCGAGCAATCTAAAAGTTCAGCATAGCAGAAAGGCTCCGCCTTTTCTGCACCTGTCTCTGAAAAAAAAGTTGTCCCCTCACATCTAGTGCCCAATGGGCCCTGTCTGCCTCTTCGGTTTCTCAGAGCTTCTCAGAACTTCTCAGAGCTTCAGGGCCTTGGCCGAGTATCGGCTCCACCGACAGATGTGGCAGTGGCTGCACATGTCTCCATCCTTGCAACCTCTGTTCTTGAGCACATACTTGCAGGCTGGTCCGCACGTGAAAGGGTGGCCCATGGAGCCCGGGTTCAGCTGCGGCTCCAAGCCAGGCGGGAAGCCCATCACGTCCACAAGAGGAGGAGGTTCAAAGCTGGGGCCGGGTAGAGACGTCTGCTCCTCCGTCGAGAGGAGCCGCACAAACTTGGCCGCGAGATCTTCCTCAGCTTCCGGCTGGGGGTTCTCTTTCAGGCTTCGCAGCGTCTCCTTTGTTGCCTTCTTGCCTTTCCCCTCCCGGGCCCCATCCTTCGCTGTCTTCGACCAGAAGCACTCATGGCATTGAAGGCAGTCGGCACCATCACGGCACCCTCCCTTGCGCTTCACATACCTGCAGGCTGCCGCGCAAGTCACCGGATGCCCCACGGATCCTCTGGAAACCACGACTCTGGGCTTCTCGGCCTCGGCACGGGAACGGTGATCCTTCAGCGGTCGCTGCACGGCATGTGGCGGCGGCGGCGGCGTGGGCGCCACAAGAGGAAGTGCAGGAAGCGGGAGCGGGAGCTTCACAAAGCCGTTGCTAGAAGCCATCTGGCCGGCGCGAGCTTCATCCGTCTTGCCCACCTGATCCTGGAGTTGCTGCAGCTTGCTGTTCAAGGCATCAGCCATGATTCCGTCCATGTGTGCCACCAACTTGGGCGTTGCCACCTCGGCCACCTCGTCGCGAGATTCGACTGACCCAGCGTTGAAGTTCATGAGAGGTGGAGGTGGTGTCACACACCCGGACATCGAAACCAGCTGGTCACAGTCGATGAGCATCACCATAGCTGGCAAAGGAGATCTTCAGGCGAAGGAGCGTTTACAGCTCGTCTAAGTCCTAAGTCTTGAGCCGAAGTCGTGCGAACCGCTCCCTCCACGCAGGTGCAAAGAAAGGATCCCTACTTGCTCCGGGCTCTCCCTGCAGGCACATGAAGCCGCGAAGCCACATTCCGATGTCTCTCAGGCCCGAAGCCCCCATGGGGCCCCATAAGCCCCCATCCCACCTCTCGTGCCATCTGCAGGGAGCAGGATCCCAGGTTCGCGCCTTCGAAGCTATCTGCACTCGAAACAGATCAAAGGAAACTCCCTTTGGTGGATCCGACGATCTCCCTGGTAGTGGTTACCACGTCGTGCAGCGACGTCTCGGTTTCCAACGGCTCCTTTCGATTCTGTAGTGTACTCGTGCTGTCCTGCTTCCTCCTTCGTTTGGTCTTATGTATTCGGGGCCGTGTCGTAGGCTTACGGTAGTGCCAATCGTCTTCGTCGCATCCTTGCAATTCATCACACGAAGTCAAGTCTCGGAGAACCCAAATCCAAGATCGAGCCGCCGACATCGGCGAAAAGGCAGCCGCCGGCAGACCCGCCGCGCAGAAGCCTTGCAATGGCCGTGCAGTCCGAGAACTCGCCGTGCATTCGCCACCTTCGGAGTGCTGGGATCAGAGCTGCATTCTGCAGATCGGGGATCTCGGAGAAAGCAATGAGAAGCAACGCATGTATGAACCGACTCTGAGTCCACATTTTGGAATCCCCACTTTCCTTTCGGATCCCAAGCTCAGCGGGCCTTTCGGCTGCCAAATCCTCCATGCGGCCGACGCATAGCCATACCTCAAACATACCAGACTCAGTTAGGTTCGACATACCGTTCGACAAACATTCCGGCAACTTGAGACCCATGTAAGAACCGAAACACCCCAACAGGTCATAAGAGTTAAAATGAACAGAAATTACCGTTTGCGAGATGAGCGCAGGGATCCCACAACTAGCCGATCGATAATGATGGTGTCTGGAAATAGCCGTACACAAAAGCTCCAACCTGTTCTACCACTGGGCTCAAGTCAACCCTGAACCCCGTACTGCGGCTGGACGTAAGGTCGACGCTCGCACGCTGATCTTGAGCATCTTCCAAAACCCCTGCCCCCCTTCGAATCCTCAACCAAAATCCGGAACATTCAAAGCGAAAAGGCCGCCGTCCGGAGCATTCACGTGTAGTGTAGATGCTTCCACCATTCCTCCAAGCGCGCTTTCAATACTCCGTGTCCTGCGCATCATCCCACAGGTAACCACGACGAAGCTATGATCCTGGCGATGTAGTAGCACTAAGTCACTAAGAAGAACCCTCCACTCAAACCCTGCCAAGCCCCAAATCTCGACCCCCTGCGGCTCTAGGAACCCCAGGAGAGCCCTCGGCGCGGCTGCGCAGCGCGTAGCCGCCCTCAACCGCCGCACTGCAGACGGCCTCCCGGAGGTAGGCCTGCAGCTCAGTGTTTCGACTCGCAGACTCGTGCGAAGGCACGGCTTCATGAGTTTAGGCTACCGTAGGGCTTCGGGGCTCAAGGGATAGGTCTCAGCGCTACGACGGTGAGACATGTGAGAACTGTTCCTCATGTCTGGTCTGGGAAAAGGTTTAGGGTACGGAGCCTGTTTGGACACTCTTACTCAGGCAAGGACTCATGACTACTGGACTTCGGGCAAAGACTACACTACACAGCACCTGCACGAGTCTGCAAGCAAGGACAAGGACACCAACTGCACGTTCAAGTCTCTCTGGCCTGAGACCCGTGTGGCAGGGCTGTCAGGTCGGCATGAACCATGCCAGATGTGTGTGCTTGGACCCGGGTCTGGGAACTCAGGATGGTTTCGGGCTTCGTGTATGGTATAGTAGGGCTGGAGCTGAATGCCGACCCTTTGTAACACAGTGGTTCTCATTTTGTTTTCGAACATCCCTAAGACAGCAACGCTGCCCAAGAACCAGCCTCCTGCAGACGATGAAGTATCGCAGAGAGCGGCCAACCTCGTCTGGGTCCGATTGATAGGGAATCGAACCGAGACCCGAGCAAGACCGGGCGATTGCAACTCTCAAGCTCCGCTGAATTGGAGGCCCCCCCCGACCACCTCCTGCCGTCTGAGCCTCCCACCGCTGAGGAGCAGCCGATTCCAGGTCACCGCCTGCAGGCTCCAATCCAGCATCCTCCGAAGCCCTCAGCCAGCGCGAAGGGAGCAAGAGACCAAAAAAAAGGGGCCCTGAGAGCTCTTGCCTTTTCCGGGGACATTAAGGGAACGCTCGGTGCCAAAACAAGGCTTTATAAGCCCCTTCGGCCTTGAAGCATGGAGTCTTGGGCCCTTGGTGGTTTTGGCTAGGCTTGGGGCCTGCTTCGGCAAAGAAGAATGACGTATGTCCCTACGAAATCACTTTCCATGGCACCCCAAGGATGAAGCGGCACGACATGCACGGCTTCAAAGCGGCCCAAGCATGCGAAGTAAACCCGGGGGGGCATGTTAACGAGACTCCATCACCGCAAGCCAGCCACGCCACAGGCCCTTTCTCCAAGCTGAGACATTGTGGTCCACCAGAGAGATGTACCTCTCATGATCAAAAGTCGTACTGAAGCCGCGCATCGTCCGGATATTTTTTTTTTAACCTGAACTCTGCAACTTTTCGGAACCTTGCAAGACCCTTGAACCCCTAAGTTGACAGGAGAAACCTCTTAGGAGGACTACGGAGGTCAACGAGACTCTTCCACCGTCGCGGCCTCATACAAACCTGAGCAGAACCCTTGCCGCCGAACGGAGCACCATGCACCAGTCGGGATGAGCCCACTTGCCACTAGACGGGCCACGCCGCGCTCCTGCACGTAGCAGAGGACTCGAATATCGGGTCATCAGTTCTCGACTTTCACAGTTTGGGGAGGTTTAGGTATAAGGCTCGAAACTACATGCACGGACACACGGCAGCCTTAGCTGAAAGAACGATTTTAATTCAAAGGAACCGATCCTCGGCCTGAGAATTGGATGAACCTCGATCCTCTGTGAGCACTGGAGGTGTCTGGCACTGCACATGGCCTTAAACAAATTTCGGAACCGAAACCTCCAACCCAAAGCCCAAATCCCTCGAGCCCGGTCGCAATCCAACAAATACCGCAGCCTCAAGTCCGATTCACGGAATTTGTCACAAACCCCTTTGTTGCGATCATCAGGGGGTCCTTACAAGGCCGGAACATCACGGAAACTAAGATACTCAACTTCGGCTTACACCCTTCATCCCACCCGCATGTCCCCTGGCCGAGCGATCCAGCACGCTACAGCCTGCCGCGTTCCGGGCGAAACGCCAGGCGACCCTGCCTCGGAAAGAGACGGCGGCGGCTGAAATTTGGGAGGTTTCTCCACTTGAAGGTTCATGGGTAGTTATCATAGAATAACTCTAGTTATCACCCGTATTAAAGGACGTATAACCCCACCCGCAACTACCCATCTCCGAGCATGCCATGGCCCCCGGCGCGCAGACGCAGGCAGCGCAGGCAGGGGCCTTCCTGGCGGCGGCATCTCCTGGACGTTTAAGCGGGGGGACGGGTTGAAGCGAGGGAAGACTGGGAATCTCTACATACCTAGGCTTTCGGCAGTTGGTCCATGGAAACCTAGACCCCGAGCGATCAGTCGGCTCATGTTCACCATATTACATCCAAATCCAGGCGCAGGCACGCTACCACAGACCTGTGGTGAAAAACATCGGACGCGGCAACAGCACGACAAAGTGATCAGAAAAACCCACATGCGCAACCACCTGACGATCACGGCAGTAGCTGGGCAACGTGGCAACGATGATCGTGCTCACTCTTCAGGGTTTCGGTGGTGTTCGAGCTTTTCGACCAAGACGGCAGACCTCAATGAGCTCCGTAAATTGGTGCTCATGTACCCTGCGCTCTGAGCCCCCTCTGGGGTAGGACACACCTCCTTGGAACTTTGCCGTCATCATCACTTCGGAACCCTCGGCCAGCCTCAAGCCATTTAGCTAGGATGCCGTGCAGCTCCTGCGCTTGCGGAGGAATTTCAATGGGCTTTTCCTTGTCGTAGGCTTATGACACACAATCTTGAAGCATGGCATCGTGAGAACCTGGAGGCAGGAGGGCTACAACGATTGACTGCAGGCAAGTCAGCCGAAGGATCAAGCTCGAGGCATTGGCTTCGGATTCCACATTCGAAGTTTCCAGGGACTACCGCAGGGGTCGGATTGTTTTCCTTCTACCGAGCAAGGACGAAGAGAGGGTTGGCTTAGAGCCTAGGGCTTTGTTTTAAGTCTACAAATACACTCGAAACACCCACAAGAGCAATTGCCATGGTGGAGTATGCACATGTACATATACATATCTACATGTTCATATGCCTGTACATAGAGTCATGCATACATACGGACGTAAATACATACGTACGTGACTACATCCTGCCTACCTACCTATCTGCCTACCTCATGGCGCTTGCCAGTCCACTTCTTCCGGACACGTGAAGTGGCGGACATCGCATTAAGATTCCACCCGCAACGCCTAAAGAGAGAGAACTGGGTGCATTGATCAGGGCTTTGCATGGGAGACCCTTCTTGCAAGACCACTCCAAAATGGTGCTCCTGCCCGGCATCGCAAATGCCTCAGGACGTTTGACTTGGGGTTTAGGGGCGTAGGTGGGCTTAGGGCTGTTTTGTTTTGGGAGCGCTTGTCTTCGCTTGGGCCTGAGGGTCCATCCATGACTGAATCCTAAAGCCCACGACCGAATCCCTACGAGATCGTAGCTTCGGTTCTTGAGGGATTCAGGGATCTGTCCGAGTGGCCAACGAAGGGACGCAGAGCCTCACCGAAGGGCATGCTGGCCTGTTTAGGGCTTCAGTCATGTAGGGGCCTAGGGTTTCGGGGGCTCCTTGCTAAAATTATAGTCTCATATGCCCCATATGCTGGCCTTTCATGGTTTCATTAACGTAGGGGCCTTAATAATGAGAATGGGGTTTTGGGGGCTCCTCACTAGAATTGTAATATAATATGCCACATGCCCCATATGCTGGCCTTTCGGGATTTCAGTGCCTGTGGGTGTTTCAGGATACTTTGGCGTCTAGGGTTGAGGGTTAAGGGTGTTGGTACGCTTTCGCAGTTTGAGATCTGTGTCCGGGTTTTGCTACATTTTTGCATCTTGGCCGCCTACCCATGCAGGGTGTCAAAGTTGAGATCTTCAGCTTCTCTGTCAGTGTTTTTTGGAGTCAGGGCTTTGGCTTTTGGGGTTCACATAGGACCCAACTACGGACATCCTCGAAGCTAGATCCAGGACCCCTGAGTCCCCCAGTTTTTGTAACAGAACCTTATAGCAGACTTAACAAATAGGACCCAAGGTCTCCTTCAAAGGCTCCTTGAAGGGTTCCTTTAAGGGTTCCTGTAAGGCTTCCTTCAAGGGTTCCTGTAAGGCTTCCTTCAAGGGTTCCTGCAAGGGTTCCTTTAAGGGTTCCTTTAAGGCTTCCTTCAAGGGTTCCTTTGAGGGCTGCTTCAAGGAGGGTGCCAGGCTGCTCTGCCCTGCGGCCTCGAAGGCGCGCTCCTCCAGGCCGTTCTCGCTCCCATGCCCTGCACCGCCTCCGAGTCGCAGAAGCTTCCTTTGGCTGTCTGGCTCTTCGTAGGGAATAGGGTTCCTTTAAGGGTTACTATAAGGGTTACACTATAAGGGTTATACCATAGAGGTTTAGGGTTCTTAGTAGGGAATGGGGGAATGGGTTATGGGGACTATTATGGTATAGGGATTACTAGAGGCATCCATTCCCCCATGCCCTTCTGAGAACCAGATGGTTGAAGGGAAGGCGCTGGGAGTTTAGATGCGTTTGGAGTTTTCCATGGGTTTTGGGTAGTTTGTGCCTCCCGCATAGCTGGGACGAAGCAGTCACGCACAAGCCCGAACAACTGAACTCACCTTCCAAACACAAACAGGAACAAACCGTACTAACCAGGTCTTGGCTACAGGTTGCGGTTAAAAGGTTTGAACACAATGGTGCTGCAATACGGAACTGCCAATACTTGGGCCTCCGTGAGAACTTTCCGGAGCTCCTTCCCACATGGCATCACATGGCCAAAAACTCTCACCACACCGAATGGAAGAAGAACACCGACATCTTGTGATCTAGCTGCCCTGACCGCAAACCGCTAATCGAGAAGGGGGTCTGCTGCGCCAGCGCCATCAATCCGAAGATTGGCCAAGTCGAAAACATGGCGGCCGAGATGGATGGGATCCTGCACAGAATGGTCTCTTCGCTGAGGGGCCTGCGCCGCTGTCTATGACAGTTCGTTCTAGTCAGCCTTCCACAACCTGTGTCTCTCTCCCGCTGCGCGCTGACGAGCATGGATGCAGGGAGACAGCGAGGACGTATCCCGAAAAAGTTCGTCCTTTGTAGGCATCGGGCTTCTTCGGGCTTGCTGGGGCCTAGTTCAGACCCTCTCCTCAATCGCAAGAGGACGAGCGCGTCGGCCAGGCTGTTTACGGAAAGGCTGGCATCGTCGCGGATCTGCTGGAGCGATGACAGGAGGAAGTCCAAGAGCCTCCGTGCTTTTTCAGCGGCTCCTTTAGAGGGTTCCTTAAAAGGGAAACTTTTTTAGGTTTTTCTATAAGGGATTTAAGGATTTAGGACTCTCAGACGCCAGAGTCAAACGGAATCTTGACCCCCATGGCCCAAGCCACAGGATCCTTGCACCGTCTTTGAGCCTCCTCTGCCCCCAAGCCCTGAGAGCATTTGGCTAAGCCAGCCGCGTGAAGAAAGCTTCTCCGGCTGCGCAGGGAGACTCCTCTGCTGCCCGGCGTCCTGAAGCCCAGCCACTGGTATAAAAGCTTTTGACCGACGCCAGGGGCTTTGCTTCAGTCTCCACCTCTCTATGAACGTGGCCCTAAGATGTCAAAACGACTGCCTAGCTGGCGCTCGTGGCTTCGTCTCCTCTCCCGCCGGACTGGGTCTGCTCTTCTTGCTCCATTTCAGCAGTGGTCAGCCAGAATTAAAGTGTTTGGGAAGCCTGAACGGTTGGCGATGGCAGTACTTGTCGTGGTAATGCTGATAATCATGATGATTGCAGTCCGCCCACCAGTGTTCCGGGGATCGGCATCGCAAAAAACTGGAATCCTGAGCCCTCTCCTATTGAGCGGATTGCAGACACAGCGGGTGTCTTTAGCTAGGTCGTGTCTTACACAAACGGCCCCTCGCCACCCCCCCTCCCACGCGGCGGGGTCCTTCGCCATCGAGCCACAGAGGCAACAGCTGCCCGAACTTCGCCATGGACGTGCGCAGCGCTTGTGCCGGGTCCCATGTGACGTATCCTTCCGAGGCGGCGGCGGATTTGGTGGCTTAGGGTTTTTGTTTTTTAACGCGCCTTTTTCCATCTGCCAAAGGTTTGGGCTTAGGGTTTAGGGTGCAGGGTTTAGGGTCTTTGAGAGACCGCATGACTTCAATTGGGACGAGCCGCAGCTCGAGAACCTGTCGGTAGCAGACACTTTGGGTACGGGTGACCAAACCCTCCTTAAGGGTTCCTTTAAGGGTCCTTTCTTTTAGGGATCTATGGGGCGCTCTTTTAGGGCTTCCTTTTTTGGGCCAGTACCCAGGCTCTACCCCCCTGGGCCGCCCTGCTCAAAGTCTCGCGCAGGCGATGCCAGGTAGCCGAGGCTGCAGCGCAGGACCAATAATCTTCCCCTGCGGGACTCAGGCTTTCAGAAAGAAAGGTTTCCGATGTGCTCTTCTTCGAGCTTCTTCCTGCTTAGAGCATGTAACACGTACTGTATATTTTTGTGCTATATACATATACATATACATATACATATACATATACATATACATATAAATATACATATACATATACATATACATGTACATACACGTGTACATAGACATAGACATACTTATACATATTCAATTGATATGATATATACTCAATACAAGAATAGCTACTAAGAAATTCCATGTTTTACATTGCCTACTAGCCTTGCGGTCCGTAGCCCACGGCCTACACACGAAGCATCGGCCTTCCAAAAGCATCGGCTGCCGGAGGCCTCCGCGGGTCTCACCCGAGGGGGATCTTTTAAAGGGTTCCTTTAAAGGGATCCCTTAAGGGATCTTTAAAGGGGTCCTTTAAAGTTCCTTTAAGGTTCCTTCAAAGGGATCCCTTGAGGGATCCTTTGAGGGTTTCTCTAAGGCTCCTTTAAAGGGATCCCTTCAGGGATCTTTTTCGGGCTCCTTCAAAGGGTTCCCTCAAGGGTTACTTCAGTGGATTCCCTTGAGGGCCTCAACACGGGGTTCTTCCAATGAGGATCCTGTTGTTTCGGATTCGATCTTCTATTCTGTCATGTGAACACATGTATTTATATGTAGATACATATATATATATATAGAGAGAGAGAGAGACGTGTGAGCATATGTATCTATGTATGTATGTATGTACATACGTATGTATGTATGCATGTATGTACATACACACACACACACATATATATATATATATGTGTGTGTGTGTGTGTATGTATGTATGTATACAGGATCCCATTATCCCTATCGTTTCGGATTCGAAATTTCTACCAACAAACTTTGGGGTTCAGAACGTCGGGCAGACTCGGATCAGACTGATTTACCATGACGATTTCTCAAGGACTTGCACCGGACCAGGCCGGGGGAAGAAATCGCACCGTGCACTTCTGCTCTACACACCGCACATCACAGCACTTGGCCCCCCTCGCCTTTCGATGGTGCCTCGCGCTGCCCAGGCGCGCACCCGACGAGTGCGGCCCATGCTGTCGGGCGGCTCGGAGGTGGAACTCGCAAAGCCGAGGATGATGAGATCTTTTATCTATGAACTTGCGCGATTCTGTCATTTCAAGATCGGCCTCTCTGCGCTACTGTCCCAGTTTCTCCGCAACCAGCAAGACTTACGTTTCTGGCCTACTCCTGGCCTGGCCGTTACCCGTACACCGTCCTTGCTCCAGTTCAGTCCGAAGTGCCGCCATTTTGACCATCTTAGCCCTGCTACAACACTGGCTCTGCCATGAAAGCGGCCATGCTCAAGGTCATCATCTTTCATCGTCGATGCCGCATCTGCCAGCGCCACCGACCACACTACCACGAGCTTCACCATCACCCCGACAAACACAACCATCTGCACCAGTTATTGTCGAGGCTGTCGATCATCATCATAGCCACAGCATGCTTTAACCATTGCAGCGGCATCGGCAACAAGACAACCCTTCACATCAAAATGGAAACTTCGTGCGGGGATTGCTGCTTGCTCGTATTTTCCTTTCGAATTCTCATGGCTCGTGGACAGCGTCTTCTGCGACATCCTCAACTTGGCTCTCCCGTGGCGGCGACCGCGGGCTAACCCTCATCACCTGGCCGGCAACCCCGAGACTCCAATATCCCTTCATTAAGGAATATTCCGTAAATCATATTCGGGATCCTACTAGAGTTTAAGGAAAATTCCTTAAATCATATTCGGGATCCTACTAGAATTTAAGGAAAATTCCTTAAATCATATTCGGGATCCTACTATAACTTAAGGAATATTCCGTAAATCATATTAGGGATCCTACTATAATCTAAGGCATCTTCCTTAATTTAAGGGACGTCGGAGTCTCTGGGAAGTTGAGTTCGGCGCACCCTCACATTCGGACCACTCGGACCAGGCGAGGTTCATATAGGGGCCTTCATAATTAGAATAGGCTGTTGGGGCCCATTATACTAGATTTTATACTAAGGAAGCCCCAAAATTGTATAGGTGATTGTTAAAGCCCCCTAAAGTATGCATTGAGGAAATCTGGGTGCAGAAGGGCTTCCGCCAAGAGGCAAGTCTCAGGGGGCCGAACCATGAAAGCTACACCCGAGTTTCTCCTCACCGCTCACCTCCCGCAAGAGCCGGAGATCGTTTGGGTCGATTTTGCCAGACATGCCCTCGGGCGGGTTGTCGTAATCAAACTCCTAAGCCAAGGAAGGCGAGTGAAAGGCTTGGGGGTTTTCCCCACGAGGCCCGTGTTTCAGGGTGCATTCGCAACCTGATGGCCTACATGATCCTACATGTCAGACAAAAAAGGCCTTCTTCTTTAAAAATGAGTACAGTTACACCGCTCGAAAGGGGTACCATAGAGGCTTCGGATGCAGGGTTTCAAGATTTTGGGACTTGGAAGGGCTTGAGGGTGGGTAGAGCTGCAAGGCTTTGAAGACAGAGCTGTCATCCTCTAGGACCTTATAGCCCTTTATATATGGGCATAGGGGCGTGAATGATTTCAAACGGAGTTGTGAAGTGCGATACAGGGACCATAACTGGATACTAGTTACGATGTATTCAAACCTTTCTAGTCTCCGATCAGACAAAGGCTACCCTACATGTGAGGGGGATATCGACCTCCTGAATGCCTGTGGACCCTGCTGCATGGCAGCGAAATTGTGGACCTGTCAAAAACCTATAGAATTCTTACGCAGCGCTCGTGCTGTAATTCATATTACTTGTAGTAGCAATGAACAACAAGAAAGCCCTGTTGGCTCCAAGAGTCCGGATCCAGAGAGAAGGCCTCCACGGCATCCTCCTCGCCCCCGTTCGGTGCCTCGTTCAGCAGCTCCTCTCGGAACTCGGTCTCGTCGCCGTCCTCTCTTTGAGCAAGCTCCGAGCTCCAGGAGTCCGAACCCTTCGATGGTAGCAGCCGATTAGACGCAAACAGAAACCACGCCATGCCCGCATTGCACAGCATCCACAGCCTACACCTACACGCAGGTACTGTATGTCCGCTGGTTTCCTTGTGCGTGTATGTTTTGTGGCGTGTTGGAGGTCCCTCCCTTGTTCGTTGTCTTGTCTGCTCTAGCTCCCATCCACAGCCCAGGTACACGTACCTGCGAATCTTCTCTGGCCCAGACCCCCATTTCTATCTTACTGCTACCTGGCGCTGCGCCATCGCCACGGTAGCATACAATTTGTCTACCTTTCCTCTTCACGCCATCAGATGCTGGGACCAGGACACATAAAGACGCGTACTTACACTTGCGCTCAGTTACGCTCACCTACATGGATATACATAAGATTACAGCACACATACACTTGCAGTGATAGATACCATACAATACAATGCCATACCATACCAAACCAAACCACTCCATACCGTTGCATACCCACTTGTTTACAAACGTACTTTGCTTGATCCTTGCATGATGCACAGGACGCCTGAAAGGCAGAATCTAAAGATAACTTTCTGTCACTTACGGGAACCAAGAAAGCCCCTCTCTTCTTCTTCTGCAGGGCATAGGAGGCGTTTCAAGACCCCCGGCCTCATGGGCCCCCCCCATGTGTTATGGGGCTTTCGGTAGGGCGTGAAAAAACACCGATTCCTCCAGATTCTCTCTCTCTCTCTCTCTCTCTCTCTCTCTCTCTCTCTCTCTCTCTCTCTCTCCACGTGCACGTCCAGTCTGTCTCGATGTCTCCTCTCTCTCTCTCTCTCTCTCCCCCTCTCTTCCAGCCCTCACAATGCGCAGATCCTCTGTCAAGCTGTCGATTTGTAGCTTCGACGAGAGTCCTTAAGGGCAACAAGCAGAAGCGGGACAGCTTGTCCTCTTTCCTCTTGTGCTTTCCGGCGTTGGAATAGAATACGATACACTGTCTCATCTATAAAAAGGGAAACTCCACCGTGCGACACTGGGTCCTACAGGCCAATTGTTTTTGGTAACCTCAGTCTCGTAATGTCGTCGTCCTAGATCATTGCGTGCAATCGTTGTTGCTGAGAGGTTCATGCTGTCATCCGATGCTACAGTTAAGTTTGAGTCCTCCCTGTGTGTGATGTTGACGGCGATTTGCTTACTTCTAGAACTCAGTGGAACTGCTAGTGACGACGATGGCGAAACCTACCGCGGCTAGCGTACAGGGTGGCGCAAGTATTCCGGTGTTGGAGGCTTGCACTAGTGGAGTACTGGTGGCACAGCAAATCACATGAGCTGCTTGTATCAGATGTTTTGCCTCAGCTGCCAACAGCAGCAACAATGCCGTGTTATCAATTGTTGCCGTCGGCGGGTGGTGCTCTCTGGGACTGTCGGGGTTATGATCTAGTAGATGATATCCCCATGCAACCTCAACATAGAGCCCCTGCAAAACCTGCGGTTGTTGTTGGTAAGCTTCTTGTCGGGGCGGTGGCTGTTGTTCATGGTTTCGATTATGGTAGTCTTGCTCGCGGTTCTGTTCGGCTCTTGGCCGTTCCGTCTTCTTGGCCTCCTGCCTGGCTCAGTACACGAGGCAGGGAGTTAGGCACAACGGTCCAGTGAATGTTCTGTCTGAATACTAGGATTCCTGCAAATGCTTGACACCTTCTTACTCTCAGGACAAAAACGTGATCGTGGAACTTAATATGCTAATTTAACTCGTGCAACGGTTTCTGTTGTTTCCATGTCGGTTCGCCTATTCATGCAGCGAATGTAACTACCGCTGAAGACAGTGATTCCATAGTAAAGCAGGCCCTGGCTTCTTATGAAGTCTCACGGCAGCAGCATGTCCAGCGCAGCGTCTCGGGTCAGAATGGCTTAGCTTATCTCTTTTGCCAGGAGGCCCTCCGGCGTCTCATGCCCCAGACGGCCTCCACACGTCTCGGCCTGGGACTCCAACGCAATCTCATCGCACCTGAGTCACAACACTGCATCCCGCTCTGCCACTTATTCCGTGCAATGTGCAATCCCTGTGTCTCTGTGCGGATTGGTTGGCAGCTGCGGTGAACTAACAGCCTGCAAGCAACCAAAGGCAAGCTAAAGAAGCTCAAAATCGTCGCGACAAACAACGAGACATTCCAACAACGAAGTGGCGAGTTGGAAAAAGAGTCGGATGCACAAACCAGACACGTCGCTTCCGTGATTACGCGGGGACATTCCTGAATCATGAATGGCTGTATAGCCGTTGGTACCAGGACAGGGTGCTGTGGACATGAGCAAACGTCGCGACAGAGCTTTGATCCATCTATGCTCTGGGAGGTAGAACCATACTGCAAAAGCCTTCGCGTAATAGTGGTGATAGTATTAGCCGTCGAAGGGAGGAAGCGCCAATAAACGCATCAACAACTGAGTACCTCTCTTCGTCCTAGCAGTGCTTGTGGTCGTCGTGTTGGTGCCGGTCGTTGTTGTTGTCGTGGTCGTCGTCGTCGTACTTCGCGGCCGATCGGAGCTGGAGGAGGATGAGTAGCAGTTGTAGTAGTCGTCGTCGTACCAGTAGTCGTCGTCATTGTTGTCGTCGTCGCGTAGGAGGAGGAAGAGGACAAGGAGGAGGAGGAGGAGGAGGAGGAGGAGGAGGAGAGGAGTGGTGGAACTAGCAGATACACATACATATACGTATAAATAAACGTATACATATACCTATACATATACATATACAAACACACACATGCACATATATTTACACGTACACATACACATATACATATACTTATACGTACTTATAAATGAACATATATAAATATAAATGCATATACGGATGCTCCAGCAACATGGGCTGTTGCGGCCGGATGAAACCTAGATGTTTTGTAGACTCTCTTCGTCGTCGTTGCAGTCGGCGTTACGGAGCTGCTGCAGTGAAATCTCTATTGTGTCACCGTTGTTCCAGCAAGGCGCTCAGGATCTCTTTCTCTGGCTGGAGTTGCTGCTGCTTGAGGTTGGTCATCTGCACCGTCATTGGCCTGCTGTCGTGGCGTGTGTCCAGACAGCGGCATAGTCCAGACTCTGACAACCCAAACATTGAAGGCGTCGAGCCATGCGTCTTCACGTGGCTAGACTAGCAGCCTTCTTGCAGGTAGCGCGGCGTTTGTCAGTCAATGCGAAGCTAACACAAAGCAATTATCTAGCCAATTGCTCTGCTGCACGAGAAACACACATTAATTACACATACACCGCGTGTCGGTGTCACTGTGTTCAAGGTTTGTGGGGGACAGCGACACCCCCGCCGTCCACACGACCAGCATCCTGCTTCCTGTCGGCAAGACAGCCAGACTCTTCAGAAATCATAAATGCAAAAGTTCGGGAACCACGACATAGCCCTGGCAAAGCCGAGCTTCTTCATTGCTTTAGCATGCTTAGGGCTCCAGAGACTTGAGAATAGACTTCTAATCCTTAAACTTGGCACTTCCAGACCCAGAACATAGCGGCCTGCACGCCCAAGACCGCGTTGATGTCTGGGCTAATTGTCCATTTCATCTGCGGCTTGCCTCAGCAAGGCGTGGCTGAAGCCTTTGCATGCAAAAGCCACTGATCAAGGCGTTTGGATGGCATGGGGCGAAAGCAGAACCTCTGTGTTGATCTTGCTGATGCGGGGTAACGCTCGCGGTTCTGATGGTGATGCAAGACAGAGAACGATGCCGACGAGAAGGATACTGCAGAACCCGTTCTGTGGGGCGCCGCGGACGGGTTCTCAGACGAAAACCATGGTAGGGAAAATCCTGCAGAATACCCTAGCAGGACCCAGCCCAAATCCCCCTGCCTTCGTTGTCGTGGGGATCCTGACGGCGAGGGGCAACTCTTCCCGGACTCAAGGCGGGGATTCGGGTCAGGACCCCTCAACTCGGAACCCTGAAATCGGATAAGTGGAGAATGCCAAACTGCACGCGAAAAGCCGAAAAGCGGAAAGTCGTAAACAGTGCGGATTTTGTGCGAAAAAACTGAAAAGTCGAAAAGCAGAAAAACCCAAAAAGGCCGACAAGTACAGGAAGAACCGAAAAACCGAGAAGCCGCGAAAAGCCGAAAAGTACAGGTAGCAAAAAGAAAAACTGTTCACCCAGCCATGCAAAAGATGCGAACTAAGCAACTTCAAAATTTGTCAAGGCCAGCTGCAATGCGTGTTTACACGATGCTCGGACCCAACAGAAAGTAATGCATCATAGACATACAGTACAAGCCCAAATGTATAGTACAGGCTGCAGCTTGCTGCAACTAGCTGTGGCACCAAAGATATATATAACTGCGCTACAACGCATGTGGAAGTAGCAGGCTGCACACCTGCCTTAGCCACCCTGTGGGACGGCAGCAGAATACAAAGTTACTTGACAGGTTGCCACGATCGTAATTTTGAGGGACCTGAAATCTCACTGCATGGTTCACATACCTTTCGCCACAGCACTACTCCATCATCTAGTTGTTGATTTTTTTCACGGGCCTACAACATGACCAGAGGGTTGCTGCGCGGGCAAAGTATCTATACAAATGCTCAAGCCTGCCAAAGAATTCATTGGCGCGTCTTGCATTACAAGTTTCACACCAGTGCAAAGGGTGGCAAGACTTACAGTTTGCCTTTAAAAAGCGACACAAAAAACCTGAATTGCGGTTACAAGTCGCTTACAACTCACATGCCAGCGTGCACATGTGGCACGGCCACTCGCAGTCCAGAATCCTCAAATCCAAGCTCCACCTTCCCATCTGGGGATGGACTGCACAATGCTTCTTCGATCCTTCACTTCCTTCACTTACCTCCCTTCGCTTGTTCCGCAACGGCATCGGCATCCGCTCGGCCAAGCACCTGACCAGATACTGCTTCCGCCTGCACGGCGGGGTCCGGCTTTGGAATGCCGACGGCATCTGCTTCATTGGCCTGGGCCACCAACTCCACTGCTGCCTGCGTGGCTCCACAACCAATGTAGATGGCACAGAGGTCGTTGAAGAAACTGTCCACGCACCAGGTGAAGAACAGGATGAAGTAGAAGATGTGGAACTTGAAGCCCCATACCCCAGCTTGATGCAGACCAAGAGCGATGATCAGGGAGACGTAGTGAAGGCTTGTGCCGAGGACTGCAAGCAGGACGAGCCAAAGATTGTTCGTAGCAATCCTGACCGCAAAAGTGAGCTTATTCTCCACGCCGCCCGCAGGCATGGATGACTTGATTCCTGACACGACCTGCCGCAGGGCTTTGAAGGCATTCCATGAGAAGACGCCATCAAGGATCACGAAAACGAAAGCCGCCACGATCATGCCGCTCATGATGATCATCCGTCCGGCACCTTCACTGACAACGTTTGTGAGAAGATAGAGCAGGAGCACGGCGATCAGCACTGTACCGGCGGCCACTTCACCGTAGATTGTCTTCTGCATGCATCTGACTGCCTCATCGCCTGCGTGCAGCCGCGTTCGAGTAATCACCACCTTCTGTAGCAGGATGCTTGTGACCCAGTTACTCAAGAAGGAAAGAAGCATGATGGAATTCCCAATGCTCATGCGTCCGCAGTGCTGGATCACAATTCCAAGCGTTCCTATGGTGTTTAGCAATGCTGTGGCCAGAAAATACCTGAATGTCAGCTTGCCCAGAGCAGTTCGCGCGGGTGTTTGGTACAGCCAGACCAGTGACACTGCTAAGCCTGCCCAAGACGTCCCCATCAGTGGCGCAAACAAGGGAACGGTGTGCAGGCCATAGTCAAAAGTGGTCACAAAGCAGGTTCCGGGAGACTCCAAGGTGAAGGGGACAACCAGACAGATGATCAGCGTCATGACGAAAGGGAGAGGCATCAGAACCAATGTAGGGGTCCGACTGGCTTCCCAGAAGCCACACAGCCAGGAAGTCCCGAAAACACACAGGCTTGACAGACCAGCAAAGATGAGGACAGCAATGATACCACCAACCTCTGCTTGGTCATCTTGGCACGTCCTGCAAGCATATGGGCAGTTCTCGATGATCTCCCTTTGGGTTTGAAGTGTGTATCCCAAGTCATCAAACCAGTCGATGCCAATCCTCGTGCAGTCAGATGCGTACCAGTTGGTGCAATACCTTCCATCGAAATCCTTGTAGTTGTGATTATCTTTGCATGCCAATGCTGTGGCCAGCATAATGGAGACCATCAAGCCAAGCACGCTCATGGCTTCGGGCACACGCAGGAAAGTTTTCTTGCACCAACAAGCACTTGGGCCAAGCCCTGAGCCAGTAGCCATTGTGGGTGTCGGGTTGGGGCAGAAAAAGTCAGGTGACCATACACTTTTCAGAAGATCTGAAGAGATGTTGATTTGGCTATGCGGGATTCAGCCAGTCGGCATATCAAAAATTATGGGGCCTGTCCAGAGGGCAATCGTACTGAGAATCCTTGCGTTTGGTGCATCAAGCAAAGATATATAAAAGGTTTGAGAAGCATCCCTCGCATTTTCCGATGTCTGAGGCATTACGGCCTGTAGCTGAGTCATCTACGTTGTTGAAGGCTCTTGACTGTGAAAGTTCAGAGCTCGCTGATCAGCCAGTTGCCAGCACATGTGCTGCGCTGCCATTATATGGGGCTTTCCGAAAATAGGGGACCCTAATATGGTACCCCAAATAGTAGGATCCTTATTATAGGGACCCCCAAATAAGGTACCCCCTATTTTCGGAAACTCCCATATAGTAGCATTGCTCCAACGCGAAGAGACTCGGATTCCGGTTGAGGCCTCCTGTTCGTTGCTGATGCACATCCTGCTCGAATTCTACAAGGAACCAATCGAATGCTTGAATATTTTGAGCTCTGGCACCTAGGCAGATATTATGGGCATTAATTTCTTAGGATTTTCCCTCCTACCTAGCAAGGACGAAGCCCGCATTGCATAAGAAATTAGGATAGATATTCAGGTTGGTGGGGTGGGTGGTGCCAACAGCCTAAATAGGCGAGGTGGTCTCTATCTGTATTTACCCTAGATCCCTTTTATGGTATCTTAAAACAGAATCCTTTAAAACAAAACAAAAAAAAGCAGATTCTGGAACCGGGACATCTCGGCCTCGGCGTGGCGCGCCGGCGGGTGGAAGCCCGCCGGCAGGGGCGGCAAGTCTTGGGCCTCGGGCTCGAAGCCGAAATCCTGTGAGCCAAGGACGGGGGGGGGGGGGGGCCCTTAGAATGAGGGCTTAGGGCTTAGGGTTTAGGGTTTAGGGTTTAGGGTTTAGGGTTTAGGGTTTACGCTCTCACAACTCGGACATGCCAGGCGAGGTTCTTAGGTGCGAGGTCGGTGTGAAAAGAGGCAAAGATCGATCCTCACTTGTGCCAGGGTTTAGGGTTTAGGGTTTAGGGTTTAGGCATTGAGGGCTTCAGGTCGTCATGATGTTGCAACAACAAGCAGGAGGTAAGAACAAACACAAGGGGGGATGGGCAGCTTGATTTCATGAGAGCCGTAGTGCCGTAGTACAGGGTTTCGCGCGGCAGCTCTTCGGTCTCTGGTCTTCTTGCTCCGCCCACACGGAAGGCTCACGTCTTGGAGGCCTACACAAGAGATCCAAAGGGTAAGTCGAGTTTGAAGCCTACTAGGGCGTTGGGGAGGATTCTGGACCTCTCACGGGGCGGAGACGCCTGAAATTCTCGGGGGTCAAAGGGCCGCTGCAAAAGGCCAGCATGTCAGCTTCATGTCCTCGGGCGTGTACTGGCTGACCTTCAGCGGCTGTCGGCTGTAAAAGATCTTGGGGTCAATGTTGAGCTTTCGCAACTCCTCCTGCGTCAGACAGCTCTGCAACTCGACAATCCTGGAGAATCCTCCCGCTGATGCCCCTACTGTTAATGATAAACTTTGAATTACCTTAAGGACCTTGAACTAATCCTTATTCTGGGTACTGCAGGATTTATATCATCCACCCTATCTCCCTGAAACCCCTCCTCCACGCTGGCACGGCTGCTGGCCTCCCGCCCAAGGCTGGGGAGCAGCTTCGCGAAGTCTTCGTAGGTCTCCACCTTCAGCCTGACACGGTGTTACGAAGCAAAGGGAGTCCCTTGGCACCGCAAGCTGGAAGCGAGGGAAATCACCGAAATGCCTGCGGACTTCCCTCGCAGCTCATCGGAGCAAGTTCAGACTCCCAGCTTTTTTCAAGAACCCCCGTACCTGACAGCCGAGGCCCTTCCAGAGCCAAGGTGCTGGAAGGGTGCATTGACGAAGGCGCGATGCTGCTCTTGTGGCGCTTCCTCTCCAGGCTTCGGTGGCGGCGCGCCTCGCATCAAAAGGCAGAGCCGGAATACGGGGAGTTGCTCCGACTGGCCAAGAGCTGAAAGACCTTGATGGCTGAGCTGCGGGGATGTGGCCAGGGGCGCTTCCCACAACCAATCTCCCGCTTTCTCCGAGCCTTCCATTTGCGCCAGGACCCAAACTCCCAAGGGAGGAAAGATGGTTCAAGGAAACTCCTACGCCACGGCCGGAGCTTTTCCAAGTGCTTTTCTGGCTCTGAGTCTTCGCCCTGTTTTCTGGGGTTAAGGGCCTTATAAGGGGTTTAAGGTTGAGTCTTGAAGGCCTCGGTCTCTGCAGGGAAACTCCAAACCCGAATTGAAAAGGCTCCCGTCTCGAGCCACGTGCTGCGGACAGGAACCAGGCACGGTTCAAAAAGGCAGGGACTCTGAAACTCAGTTCTCGAAAACGCCTGAAACTCAGTTCTCGAAAACGCCCCTGGCCATGGGGAAAGCAAGCCGCGAAGCGGAAGCAAAAAGCTGGAAATAGGATCGAACGAGCTCGTGCAGGCACGCCACTAACCAGATCTTGACGTTTCTGGTAAGCCCCCTGAGCCCTCGGCCATCGGTTACGAATTTCGACGCCCCAAGTGACCATGGCACGGAATAAAATGGAGTTCCGAAAAACTAGTACCAATATCCTTGTGTAGTCCATCCACAGGTGTGTAAAACATTGACACACGCATATGTATATGCATATATATATATATATATATGTGTGTGTGTGTGTAAACATGTATATATATATATATATATACATACATACATACATACATACATACATACATACATACATACATACATACATACATACATATGTGTGTGTTTGTCTACTCAGATTTATACCGACATATACCACCAAAAGCTTAATCTAATTATCTAAGCCCCGATACTCTCATCTGAGGCTTCCCGCTGGCTCCGGTGGTGCATTGACCTCCAAGGAAGCCAAGCAAGCGAAAGTACCCACGGCGGAAACTAGGGTTCATTTCGCATGTCTTTGTTCCCAAAACTTTGGGGCTTAGGTCCCCTTCGCGGCCAGTACGGCGTGCCGAGCATGTTGGGCCTCTGCAGGGCAAAAGGTGTTGCCATATTCCTTTGCCGGAAGTCTTCTGCCGGTGCCACCAGGGATACAGGGCCGGACTGCCAGGATCTCACCAAGGACAAGAACTCCAACACTGCAACAACCCAAGGTCCCTAAATGTTGCTTTCAAGAATCCCCTGAAGCTAGCAGTTGCCATGCTTATTCTGGTATTTTGGCCATTGCCTCCCTGTCGACCATATCCATAAACCATATTAAAACCACAACAACACCCAGCAGCAGAAGAGCAGCAGGAGAAACGAGACTGAAGATCTGCAAACACAACACTTGGGCAACAACATACGGAACAGGAAGCACCCAAATGCTGCAGAAGTGTTGTTGATGTCTAACCGGTCATCACTACAAGCAACTACTAGTAAGAAGCAGTAGCAGCAGCAGCAGCAGTGGTAGTAGTAGTCGCAGCAGCAGCAGCAGCAGGAGGAGGAGGAGGAGGAGGAGTAGTAGTAGTAGTAGTAGGAGTAGCAGGAGTAGCAGTACAGGAGTAGAAGGAGCAGAAGGAGGTATGGGAGTAGAAGAATTAGCAGCAGAAGAAGAAATAGTTTTGCAGTCGTCGTAGTAGTAGAAGCAGCAGCAGTAGTTGTAGTAGCAGTAGCAGCAGAAGTAGTAGCAGCAGCAGTCGTAGTAGTAGTAGTAGTAGTCGTCGTCGTCGCCGTCGTCATCGTCCTAGTCCTTAAATTAGAATGGGATTCATATTATGTGCTCTCTTGGACAGCCTCCAGGTATTCCGGATCCCATGGGGGCTCGTCCTCGTGATCGGAGCTTTCACCGACCTGTCGCAGACTCGGATGCGGGGACTTCGGGGCGAGGCTGTAGGTCAGAAGAAAGCTTGGCGAAGTCCTAGAAGTTAGGAGAGTTTGAGCCAATGCCACAACAACTACCTGACACGGACTTCTGCCGCAGGTTTTGCAAACACGGCGTCTTGAGTCCGCACCAAACCGTCTGACCCCTGACCCCTGCAACACATTTTGACTCCTTGTGAGCCATTGTAGCCTCGTCGATTCAGCATGCAATGTAAGCCTTGGTGGTTGCTGGAATACGCTAACCTTGAACTATGATGGCTTTTCAACCACAAGCATAAAACATTTCCCTTTAAAACCACCAAGTCATCGGTATCGTTTTGCCCGGGGTCCCCCACTGGGCTGTTCGTGGATCTGCAGCAGGTGCTGCAAGCTACGGCTTGAAAAGCCCATGCACAAGTCATCGGTCACAGTTTTGCCGATGGCAAGTAACTAAAATATACCATGCCCGGATACTCGCAAGACCCGACCAGGAAAGACAACCAAGCAACGTTCAGCATATGCCGGCCATTCTTCGGGGTTCACACATGGTCGGACGAGTTATCAGGGCAGGACCTAAGCACGTCCAAACTCTCGGCCCGAAGACGCTTCGGAGGAGGCCTAATGTAGGAACCTGATTAAGAAACCTTGGGTCTTTATTAGGGTTCCTTATATGAAGCCTACTATTTTGGGGCTATTATAGGCCCAGGGTTTCTTCATCAGGTTCCTACATTACCGGTCATGGCCTACGGTTGCGGCCTACGCTGCCTGACTCGTCTCGGACCTCTCGGATGCGGGTTCCTGAGACTCGCCGTTTTGGACCTCGTTTTCGGGCACAGGATCGTTCGGCGTGAAGGTGGGCGTCAAGGCAAAGATCAAGGGTACTGGAAGAAGTGCAAAGCAAGCCTTCGCCAGGCTGGCATAGGGCAAATTCTCGAAGTTATCCCCTTCGAGGCCCCAAACCTCGCACATTGTCACGCCCATGAATCCGCTGACGGCGCCCCCAAAATTGGAGAGAGACAATAAGGTCGCAAACAAGGTTGCCTCCAGGTTCGGTGGGCAGACCTTTGCCGCGAGCACGCACATCGGAATGAAAAAGAACCTCGAGACCAACAATCCTGGGCTCTGGAATTTGCCTAAGAAAACTTCAGCTGAGATACCAAAACACAGACAAAAAGGCACAATACGGTGTACATCACGTATCCCAAGTATAGTTGGAATAATGGGGCCCAGGGATCCGAAGGTGTCGTCGCCCACCAGGAAGAGGAAGTCCGGGATCCCAATGAAGAGGTTCCAGCGCATCACCAAAACGATCTCCAGTAGCTGGGCGAAGAAGACGGAAATCTGCGCCGTGAGGAAGATTCGACGGAAGGACCAGTTGGTCATGTACTTGTTGTAGATGCAGACCCCGATGAGAAGGCCAAGGGACCCAAAGCAGTCGACAAAGCCCAGCTTGGAGGGGCTAAGCTGTGGGCCTTCGGGATACTTTGTCAGCCACACAAACATGGTTTCACCAAGCCCAACTTGCAGGCTCTGCCTGAGGAAGATGAAGAGCGCAGTCCTGCCCAAGTATGGCGTGATCTGCTTCAATGCTCGATAAGACTGCGTGGCCACGGCGGCAGCACAAAGCACCGTGACCGCGGCTCTTGCTTGCTTGTTGGGAACCAGCACCTGAACGGAGGACAGACAGGTGGAAACGAGGGTCAACAGCACAGCGACCATAGACACGGACGGGTGCTTCCGGAACTGGTCCAGCTTTACGAGGCATCGCGCATGTGGAATCCTTTCTTCGGGCAGCCAGCCCCAGAGAGCAGGGAGAAGCAGGCTGACTGAGCAAGCCGTCAAGCTCAGCAGCACAGTCTGGGGCGAAAACCATTCGATGAGGGATCCCTTCAAGCTCGAAGACACCAGACTGAAGAGTGCCCCGACACCCCAGAAGAGTGACTGCAGATCAGAAGCATGGTGTGGCACTTGTCGCGAGAGTTCCGCACCCTTGCCATCCACGATCACGTCCGTCGTGGAGACTGAGAGATTCATCGCAATCATCACAACAACCAGCGCGGCAGCTGGCAATGCCAAGGTCCCGAGCAAGACATAGGAGCCGAAGCCACCAGCTGCGGCAACGACGATGTAGGATCGGCGGTGGTAGCCGCAGAGGGCAACACCATCGGAGAGCATGCCCATGAAGGGCTTCATATTCCATGGAAGCCCCGCGGCTGTTGTTAGCCGTCCCATGGTAGCACCATCTAGTCCCAGCACGTCTTTCATGTAGAAGCGAAGGGCAAAGCCCCCTATGGCCCATGCAATGCTCTGGTTCACGCCATAGGTTAAGATTGCGAAGGGGACGAAGTTGCCGAAGCTGGCATAGAGCTCCCGAAGCCAGTGGAGAAGGCACCATCTCCGTGGCGCCTTCTCTGCGGGGGGCTCCCGTTCCTTGCTTCCTTCGACCTCTTCCGGCTCGAGGCTGACTGTATCCATTGTGGAGACGGTCCCATCACTCTTGGTCGGTGCTCTCTCGGACAGCTTTGGAGACTCAGATCGCTGGTCTATGGCGCTTTCCGGCATCGTGCTACGTAAAAGGGGATGGCACAAGGCTGCTTGCCTTCGTGGCCTTGTGCCAAGAGATGCTACAGTGCTTGTGTCTTCATGCTTTCATGCAACTATCACCGCGAGTGCTTCAAGGTACACGATCGAGTCGCTTTCTGTTGCCGGTTACGAAGCTGCACCTGTGGGAATCACTACGGATTTCAGTGCGCTGTAGTGCAAGTTCGATGCCAAGGGTTGGGACAGCTCTGCAGGACCATTGCCGCACAAGTCGGAGAGCCTGTGACAAAGCCTTACTGTTCAGGTGTCTGAGGATGCAGTCTTGCAACATGTTACCGGGTGGGTTGCCTGCCCCATCCTTTTTGCAGCAGGCCTCGTTGTCCAGCAGCCCGGTTACAGCAAGAGCCCCCCCTTCCGCCGCTTTGAAGCGGGGAACCCATCCTAAACTCAAAACCAAATAAGCTGACCTACTTCAGCTGTGCATGCCACCGCCTCAGACGTAGCCTGCGTGTGCTCGGCAGCCAAGTTCTTTAAGAAGGCATCTGCCGCCTCCTAGACGAGGCACACTTTGTTGGGGATCCTCGAATCCAGGTTTCAGGGGTGCGCTTGCTGGGTGAGGCCGGAAAAATCGAAACGACTCGCAGGCACCGTTCAGGGCTTGGGCTTTGTTGAGGAGCCCCAAGGCCAAGCTGGATTGGTCCAAGATCATGGAAGCTGGGGCCATGGCTGGTGAGGGCACGATCGTTTGAGGGAACGGAGCAGGCAACATGCGCTGCACCACCTGGACAAGACCTGCACGAAAGGGACATGAGCTCGGAGCACAGCGGAGCCTTAGGCACAAAAAAAACAGATTCGGACGCAGGGATGGCTTCCCAAAGACCCTCACAACCGGGATTTTTCCACCACGCCAGCTGGAGCCACGTCAGCCGAGGGGCTCAGCAACGCTCGGCCAAGCAAGCTGCTGGCAACCTCGAAGACATGCGAGCGCAGTTTTCGAAGCACAAGGTTCGCGGGCTTGACACAACCGCCGAGCTAAAGAGCACACATCACAAGCGAGGTTGGGGTACCTTTTCTCTGCCTTTCCTCTTACTGCGGGCTCCTATATGGCCTGTCCTCGTCAGAGTGCTCTCCAAGCGGCTGAGGAAGACCAGAGCACCCGAAAAGATCGCTGTACACATTTTTAGCACTTCACGCCCAATATTGGGGCCTTGAAAATCGGAGAGGGGTTGTGCGGGAATACCATGCTCTGCCCATGAGCTTCAGACCCCTTCAGACGCCTACATAAGACGAGTTCAGATTCCACTGATGACCTTTGTGTCAGAAGTTTGGCCCGACTGAAACTGGCCTCCTGTTCGAATCTGTATCCTTCTTGCCACAGTAGGATGCCCGCAATCCCCAAAGCCAGAATGTCGATTTCAAAGTTCTATGGTCCAAGACGAGGGCGCAGCCCCTGTCCCCTGGGTTTTGCACCAAAGGGGAACAAGTTGAAGCTCGTCGGCGGCATCGGCGCCGAGGTGCTCTGGATGCGTTGCAGGATACTTCTCAGCACCGATAGCTCCCCTGGTGCTGTAGTGCTCAGCGATAGCCTCTTCGAGTCAAACCCATCCAGCCCTCGAGACAAGCTTGCCGAGCTAGTGCGGAAGTGCATCATGCAATGATAAACACAAGTAAACACGGTTGGAAGCAGTCGCACAGGTCCACCGATCCTTCCACGTTCGTTAAAATGGTGTGGGCTTCTGATTTCGGCCCGTGCGACAGCATCGAAAGACCCCCCGCCCTACAAGAACCCACCTGGCAAAGCCGCTGCAGCATGCAATGCGTCCTTCCTCTGCCATCTCGCAATCTGCACAATGTCTGCTCATGCTGGGCCTTTGTACCAGATGTACATACAGATATATATATATATATATATGTGAATAAATGTAAATATATATATATACATATAATTATTTATTTATTTATATTTACTTATTTATGAATTTATTTCTTTATATGGTAACCCCCCCAAGAGCTACCGCTCGTTTTGTACCGTAATACCGTGTTGAAACGGCTTTTCCGGCAGATCCAGATTCCGTATCTCGCAAAGACAACCTAAACGAAGATCACATTTCAACAAGACGTGCTAGACTGCTTTTTCAAGTTCGACGTGAGCAAGCACTCAACGGTAACACTGTACTCTTCCAACCACCAACCAGCAACTGGTTCAGGATCGACGTGAGCACACATGTCACGGCATCACTGTATTCTTTCTCACAAAACTAACTTTTTAAGGCAAAGCAAAAAAACAAAAACAACATCTTTTGGTAAACTATGTGGCCAAACTCCAAAAAGATTGCTTTTTGGTTGTCCCTCGGGAAAAAAGTTATTGGTGGAAAAACCAACTTCTTTCCTAGGAAAACATGGTTTTGGTGTGAAAAACCAACGTTTTCCTAAGAAAAAGATGGTTGAGGAGGGGAAAACCAACTTTTTATTAGGAAAAACAAAAAACAAAAAACATCTTTTGGTAAACTATGTGGCCAAACTTCAAAAAATAATTGGTTTCCCCTAGGAAAAAATTGGTTTTTCACACCCAAACCATCTTTCCCAGTGGAAAAAATTGGTTTTTCACACCAAAACCATCTTTTTCCTAGGAAAGGTTGGTTTTTCACACCAAAACCATTTTTTCCTAGGCAAAATTTGTTTTGCACACCAAACCCAATTTTTTTTGGAACACCAAAAAACAAACATCTTTTTGGAGTCTGGCCACATAGTTTACTGAACAAAGGTGTTTTGTTTTTCTTGTTTTTCCTAGGAAAAAAATGGTTTAATTACCCCTCCCAAACCAGTTTTTCCTAAGAAAAAGCTTGCCTTTCACATCAAAACCATCTTTCCTAGGAAGAGTTTGCAGTTGATTCCAAACTAAGGTTTTCCAGCGAGGAGTATGCATTTCATTTGTTTGCGCGCGTTACGAACAAGTGTTGCCTTTAAGGTTAGGGTATTTCTATTACTGGGATGCGATTCCGCCAACGTTGATACTCTACAATACATTGGGTAGCAAGCAAGACAATATTCGGGTCAACTTTGGTGTCGATAGGGAGCTGGTTTTTACAGCTACCGCTTGATGTCTTCTAGCTGACTAAAGTTGTAAAGCAAGTAAGAAACATCGGGGTCAGATTCTGGGTGGTACTAAGCCTACTATGGATGGCCTTAGGACTGCTGTCAGGGCGAATATTGCGGTCACCATTGACATAACGGCGAATGACAAGGATATGGTTAGGGTTGACGTTGCTTGGAAACAGGAGTCAGCTAATGATCTCTGTCACTATGTTGGTACGTAGTACAGGTTTGACCTGATTCTTTACATTATGTGTTTTAGACACATAACTGTACATACATACCGCATACGGGCAAGTCCGACAGCAAGTCTGACAGTGAGAAAGTGGGCGCCATGTATTCTATGTTGAGGTAAACAAACAAATGCTGGTATAATCCCTAAAAATCGAAGGGCCATCCTTTGGGTAACACCAGAGCGAAGACAGCAAGGATCGCGGTTTTTAATGGAATCTGTTTCGTGTAGCCATCATTAGCATGACTCTGACGGCAACCGTTGAAGCATATGTTTGGGCAGTATTTTAGCTTACATGTATTAATATTAACAGTAACTAGTAATGGGGATGCCATGGTTTTTAACTTCGGAGACTTGAATGGGAACCCAAAGCTACATCTGGATGCACTAACCTGTACAATGGCCATTATGTGGGTTGCAGTTGAAGGAAGTATCCGGAACAAGGAACAGCTTATGGGTAATATTAAGTTTGCGAGTAAGGTCCATCTTGGGGGGGACGGCAATATCCTTACTATCAGGGGGCCAGTCAAGCTAATGTATGTGATTGCAACCTTGTATTAACCTTCAGCTCGGCCTGAGAGTTGATGTGGAGATGTATACATAATGGGGTTACAAGTCGACATAACATGTTAATCCGTACGAACTAAGACGTGAATCTAGAAGGCACCATTTGTGGGTGAACATGAAGTGGAAGACTACTGTCACCATTGGCGCCAATCTAAGGTCTAATGGCAGGGGTAGTCTTAAGATATTGTCGTTTGGGAATAGGAGTCAGTCAATGCTCACGGTCATTCATACGTATCGCTGGGGCTTGGATCTGAAACTGTAGTGAAGGCTACGTTACGCTAATGCTTGTGCCCATATTGAGCTTCGGGCTTTCATCGTTGGGAAATCATATGTCAGAGTATCTGTGTGAAGGGTCACAACAATTGAAAATGAAGGCGGCTGCCTATATGCATATGCTGTCCCCTCCGAACTTCCAAAATCTAACACTACGCCTGAATCATACAATAGAGCCTAAACCTAGGAGGATTGGTGGCATTATCGCGGCACCTCCGCGGTAGTTCTTCCGGGGGGTGGTTAGCATGTGTGTGTATATATATATATATATATATATAGATATATATACACACATATATACATACATATGTATATATATATATATATATATATATACTCTTGTTTGTTTGTTCATTCATTTGCATATACATATACGGGTATGCCTACATATGATTATGTAAACATAAGCCTCTCTATGTCTATACCTGTCCATCTGTCTGCTTTCTCAGTGGTGGGATATCTGAAGGCTGCCGGTCGGAAGACACACACTGCATCCGCTAGGCCCTCCAGCTGAGTTGAGTGAGCTTCTACTCTGGCAAGTGTAGTCAGTTGGGCTGGCTGAGATAAGAAGCCATGGCATCCGCTTTCGCGGCCAAGATCGTAAATGAGTCCACACGAGCGAAGCCCACCCAAGCGGCCGAGAGGTTGTAACAAGAGTTAAGAAGCAGCTGTCTTTTACCCCCATGTGTGCTGACCCATCAGGGACAAACGACAATCAAATGGCGGCAGACTACTCATTGAGTCTCAGATGAATGATGTCATGCCCCACGTCTCCCACGTGCGTACTAGTGAGTACACACGATCTTTGCACTGAGACTCAAGTCAAGGCGCTCAAACACAACCGTCTGCCATGCAAAATATGCGATGGTGACACCGACACACGAACCATGTCCTCTGGTGTTGTCCCAGACTCCTAAACCCTTTAGCCAAGGAGTATATCTTAAATCAGGATGCGTTTTTCCCTGCACTTTAAGATGTAATCCTTCGTTGGTGCCTTTTGGAATCCCTGCGTAAATATTGCAAGGCCGAGGACATGGCAGCATTCGAAGCAAAAATGGCCCGACGCGCCCCTGTCCCCCGGGTTTTGCACCAAAGGGGAGCAACTTGAAGCTCGTCGGCGGCATCGGCGCCGAGGTGCTGTGGATGCGTATCAGGATACTTTTCAGCACCAATAGCTCCCCTGGTGCTGCAATGCTCAGCGATAGCCTCTTCGAGTCAAACCCATCCAGCCCTCGAAACGAGCTTGCCGAGGGAGTGCGCACGTGCATCATGCAATGACAAAACCAAGTAAACACGGTTGGAAGCAGTCGCACAGGTCCACCGATCCTTCCACGTTCGTTAGAATGGTGTGGGCCTCTGATTTCGGCCCGTGCGACAGCATCGAAGACCTCTTGCCCTACAAGAACCCACCTGGCAAAGCCACCGCAGCATGCAATGCATCCTTCCTTGGCAGTCTGCACAGTGTCTGCTCATGTTGGGCCTTTGTACCAGATGTACATGCATATATATATATATATATATATATATACATATATATATATATATATATATATATACATATATATACATATATATATACATATATACACATATATATGTTTATTTATTTGTTTGTTTGCATATACATATATGAGTGTGCATATATATATATATATATGGCTAAAAAACATAAGCTTCTCTATCTCTATATCTGTCTATCTATCTTTTTCAGTCGTGGGATATCTATCTGAAGGTTGCCGGTCGGAAGACACACACTGCATCCGCTAGGCCCTCCAGCTGAGTTGAGTGAGCTTCTACTCTGGCAAGTGTAGTCAGTTGGGCTGGCTGAGATAAGAAGCCATGGCATCCGCTTTCGCGGCCAAGATCGTAAATGAGTCCACACGAGCGAAACCCACCCAAGCGGCCGAGAGGTTGTAACAAGCGATTCACCACGCTCTTGCCGCTAAGTAGCAGCAGCCGTTTACCCCAATGTGTGTTGACCCATCGGGGACATACGGAAATCAAAGACCGGCAGACTACTCATTGAGTGTCATACCGGACGCCCCACGCGTGTACGAGACTGCAACCAAGGCCCCCAAGCACAACAAGTAAGTCTGCCGACGGAAGGCGCATGCGCATCATGCGATGGTCGAAAGAATCATTGAGACGGATTCGCCAATCTGACATTTGTCAGAAAGCAATCTCAACATTCCCCTCGGAGTCTTCACTTTCCTCCCCGAGGGACCTACATGGCGGGAGGGCCTGGCGTCGACTGGCAATGATGTGCTCCAAGGCAGCGGGGTGATGCTCCACATCCGAGAGGAAGCCTGAAATCACAAGAGGCAGGACAAGGGAAGGAGCGCTAAAGGGCTATCTATATATATATATACATATATATATATATAGGGGCTTGAAAAAGAAAACTGACTAACGTCCTTCCCGCTGGGAAACCCTCGAGCTTTGCCACGTACTTCTCATGTGAACGCCGTGTTGGAGATTGGCGGACCACTACTCCGTAAGGAACCGCAATGGGCGTTTTCTCGAAATCCCAGGATGAAATCCCTTCCGTTTCCATGAGAGGTGTAGAAGTGCCAGGGCTTCTGTGCTCAGATGCCTCTGTGCTCGCTGTGCTCATGTCATCCTCGAGAGCCACGGCCTTGGCCTTGGCCTTCAAGGGCGGAATCTCCGATTCCACCATTTGCGTCGAGCCGCTGCAGCCCATGGTGGCCAGGAAAGCTCCCAAAAAGAGTGGGTTTTCTGGCGACCCCTACAGCTGAGCCGAAAAGAGCCATGAGTACCACGGAAAGTTAGCCAACACTTAGACCATCAAAACTGAAAGTCAGAGGCTTCCAGAAAACACTGTCACTATGCCTCCAAGCCTGAGGCCTCTCGTGCCGAATTAGGAGAAACAGCTACCAACATGCCTTCAAAAAAACAGACGGAGGGATAAACAAAAGGTGTGGTGCACCCGGCAGCTAGTGGCGCTAGTGGAAGAGTACTGAATACACGGACACAGGCCAATGTTAAGCAAAGTCTGTCCTTGCACTCCGGCGGTCACAACACTTGCTCCCTTGCGCTGCAGGTGAAGTGTGCTGCATCAAATTGTAATCACACACAGTGTTGCAATGCATTGCATCAATCTCGACCGACAAGGTCCGCACGAGGATGATGGCGCTGCCGCGGCCAACAAGCACACTCTCTGTTCCCACATCCTGGATGCAAGATCGGAGTCTGTCGGCCCCAGGTATCTCCGCATGAGTGCGGAGTCGCCACAGCTCAACAGCACCGCGTCTGAATCACGAAGACGATTAAAAACTTGCAACATGCAGCGAAATCCAACCAACAAAAGCTCCAAAACGCTGTGGTATGCGAGCCCTTCATGGGAGCGGTGGTAGGGGGATGGGAAGGAGAGCATGTGCAAGCTGACCCAAAGACATTTTGACTAACGACAAAACTCTCCTAAGAAATCCAGCCATGCTGGGTGCCAATACTGCCCAGATGTCCTTTTGCACAAAGGATAGGAACTTCCGGACGTGTCGCAGCGCAGGCACCTTAGACCAGCGTCACGGCACGGGCTTTGGACTTCGTCCAACTTCAGCGCTGTGCAAGTCGGGATATTTCGGCTCTCAGGACTGTATACCGGGGCCTGGCTGTGGGCACGTGGCGGCCCGACGAAAGCTTTTGACTCGCTTTGACTTGCATTGGCTTGGGACAGGAGTTTGGCGCTGTGTGGCTGCGAGCCCACCTCCTTGAGGCAAAGTGGCAGTAAATGCTACCACCCGCACCCGCCAGAAGAGCAACACAAATATCAGTTGATACGTGTTCTCAATCAACAGTCTACAACGCAGTGATGCACAGCTTGACATGGCTCAGGGACCGTCAGCAAGATCCCACAGGACCAATGTCCTTCAGTTCCGTGGCCTTTGCTCAGGGCCAGGCCGACGTCGCCTGCCGCGCATCCGTCCGAATGAAGAGCACCTGCGTGGAAGGCAAGCGGTCTTGGACCCAAGCGGTCGAGAGATATTTAAGGACTTAATCCATGGTAACGATGGAAAGTACTCAATAAGATAGACTCTCAATGTAGCAGGACCTCGAGCGTAGAGTCTACATGAGCGGTGACATCATCCTTTCGACCGGCGAAGATCGAAAGAACGCTTTAGTGGGAACAGCCCAGAGCTGCGCCCGACAAAATCTCTGAAGCCTGTTTGCGACAAAGTACTTACAGTCAGCAGCAGCAGCAGCAGCAGCAGCAGCAGCAGCAATAGCAGCAGTGGCGGGTAGCGGGTAGCGGATAGCGGGTAGCAGGTAGCGCACAGCGAACGCAAACAAGATACCGCGCAGCGAGCAGCAGGCAGCGGTAGCGACAGCACCAGCAACATCAGTAGCAGCTAGCAGGTGCACTGGCAGTTACAGTAGCATTGATTGCCAATTCAGCAAGGATCAACAACGACAACTACTACTACTACGACGACTGCTACCACCACCACCACCACGATGACTGCTACCACTGCTACTACTAGAACTACAGTGCTGGTCCTCGCACCAGTACCAGTACTACCGATTACTACCACGACTATGTTTACGACCGTGACTACGAGTACGACGACTACGACGAAAGCCGACGACGACGCCTACTCTCGCCTACTACTACCACCACGACCAGTTGTTGTTGTTGTTGCTGTGGTGGGCGGTTGTCGTAGTTGTCGTGACTGTTGTCATTGATACGAGTACTGGCAAGAAAGCGTAAGGGTGCGTAAGAGAGTTAGAGAGAGAGAGAGAGAGAGAGAGAGAGAGAGAGAGAGAGAGAGAGAGAAAGAGAGAGAGAGAGAGCAAAACAGAGTCAGAGAGAGTAAAACAATGTAAGGCAGATTCTGAGAGGTAGTTAGAGTGAGTAAGAGAGTAAAAGAATAAGGCGAGTATAAGACGATACGAGAGTACGAGATTACACGAGTAAGTAGGACCCGTAGGGGCAGGAGTAGGGGAAGGAGCAGGAGTAAGAGTAAGAGCCCAAGTGGGAGCTGGAGCGGGAGCGGGAGTAAGAGTAAGAGTTAAGCGTCAGGACAGCGGGATAACATGCAGTGGTCACTACCGCTACAAGGATAACGAAGACTGCTCCAATTGCCACTGCTGCTACTTCTGTAACTCTTGTGCTTCTTGCAAGCATCTCTCCCGCTGCTGCGTTACCAAGCTATTGCTTCCTGGCTTTTGTTCTGTCTGCGCAGGCATTGGTTTTCAGGTCAAGACTTACACGTCAGAACATCCCCGCAATGTTCTCGATTCGGGCGAAAAATGCTTCGAGGCCCAAGCCATCTCGGGCCGCTTGGCCAGATTCATCATGATGCGCCTCTAGGGAGCTTGGGAACCACAAAGGCGTTGGACATAAAGCCTCGCACTTTCAGAGTTCAGGGCCTGAGCTTTCGTTGCATACATCGGGGCACAGGATGAAGGGCGCATGCTCCGTGTGGAGGCTTTTCCATGCGAGGCTGAGGGTGCAATAAGGTCAGATCTTCAAGAGGCTCATGACTACCGTTTCTCTGCACTCTCCACAAGTCTTAACGATGCATGATGCAGGGACTATTCCGCCAGAGCCTTCACCGCACTTCGGCTTCCTGAATTCTGCCCAACTCGCAAGAGAAGAATCGCCACACCGACTGCGCTAATCATGTCACCGCTTCAAAAAAGAAGCAAACTCAGAAGATTGCACAACTTCACCGGCAAAACCTCTGCAGCCGCACCTCATTTCTTGTAAAGCTCTGTCCTCAGCAAACACTTGGGGCTCTGATTTCAGGGTTTGTAGCCGCGGGCCTGGATGTACTATGCCTCCTGCTGCAAATTCTGTCGCTACTGGGCTTGCTGCTTCCCTGAGCTTCCCGACATTCAAACCAAAAACAGAAACCTTTGCAGCTTTATGGCCGTGATTTGTAGTGATGCCGGCCTCGCACGCCCCTTCTTCTCATCAAGAAGTTCTTCGATCATGACTCGTTGCTGTTATGTTTAATGCTGCTGCCACCTACATGCTTATCATGCTTCTGAGTCGGTAGTGTTCACCATTTCTTGTCGTCAGCATCATTCACGGCTACGTTCACGTTCGGTATCTCCACTGTCGGCAGTGCTGCTGCAGCGATCACTGTTGCAAGTACAAAATCGAAAGTTTTTCCTCCGACATCAAATATAAGCTCACGGTTCCTAATTTCATACCAGAATCACAGTCGACGGTGCGTGTCAATTCTCCATTCTGCACCTACTCCAAATTCTCAATGCACGTTGTTCCCTTAACGAATTGACCTCGCTCCGTTCGAATGGTAACAGCATATGGACAATAGCAAGAAAAGAGCAGTAGGCGTAGTTATCGTCGCAGCCGTCGCAGCAGCATGGTGCCGGTACCCTGGCAGTGGTCAGAGCAGGAACAGTGATTGCTAGACATGGTGCCATTGTGCCAGAACAATAGCCTTACAACTTGTCAAAGGTCCTCAGCCTTTCCATGTTGATATGGGCAATGCCCAAAGTCAAAATGGCGGATGACAGATCCGAGATGTTCCACTTGGTGGGGTTGTGCAGAGAGCCCCTTCTGATATACATGGCCGTTCACCAGCAAAAAGCATTAAAAAGCCGGAGCTCAGGCCGTTTAGGGCCTTTCAGCACTCACTCTCGGACAGACCACAGCGAGGATTCCAGTCCCGACGACAGCACTTTGGCCCACATCCCCAGCGCATTAACCGGGGGACTCACCTTGCTACACCCACCCGCATCGCTGAAAGACCACAGGCTGACTCGCTCCCAGGATCGCCATGAAACTGCAGGGTGGCCGCGTCTCATTCATTTAGGGCCTTTAGGGATTTTGGTATGGGGTTCGTTATGGGCGTTGGGAAGTTTAAGGTCCATGAACCAGTGCATCCCGGGATCGAGGGACTCGTCATCCAGAGCAGTCTCGCAGATCACCAGCTCCAGGTAGGCCACTGCCCCCTGCCGCCGAGAATCAAGAAACGACAACCCCCACGCAACCCAAAGAGGGATTAAACCGCGAAAAACGGACCCGGACCCGGCCGGACCCCGGAGCCTCCTCCCGGTAGGCCATCTCAACGAAGGGAACCTCGGAGGCTCATCGATCGTTCTCACAGAACTCGCCCCCCCCCTCTGGGGCCCGGCCCTGCCTTCACGGTGAAGGGCGACTGGATTGCGTCATATCTGGGCATCACGTCCGTGAGGTGGAAAGGACAGTCCCAAACATTCCACCTTGGCTGGGCTTCTCTAGGAAAGCTGCCGATGGCGGCCCCAAGCTTCTTCTTCTCTCCACATAAGAGCATGAGGCATAAGGGCACATGTGGTGCCATGGGTTGGCCTAGAACCTGAACAGCCTCACACCGAGGTTCCTGCATGCCCCGCGGGGGCGAGGGACCGCCTTGAAACGGAGGGCCGTTGCCGGCGTACTGCCAGGGACGGACAGCTGGAACGAAGATGCAATCTTCGGGTTGCTATAGGGGTATGTGTATATATTATATATGTGTATATGTATATACGTACATGTATATATGTATATGTATACATGTACACATATGTATGTATGCCAACCACGTCGACATGCCCGGCAAAGTAAGGAGACCAGACTCCGAGATAACACACAACTCAATGCCCCTATCCCTTTTCTCGGGTCCGTGTCCTTCGGAGTGCCGAAGATGTTCCCGGCCCCCTTCGACTGGTTCTCCAAGACCCAGCCTTTCAAGCTCGCCGGCACGAACGAAGGGTGCCGCCATTCCGAGTGTACTGCGAGTTATTGTGGCTTTCAGAGTACCAAAAAGACAAGTTTTCTGTACTCATCAGCAACTGAAACGGCAAGCAGGCCCTAAGCCCAGAAGCAGCCACTCAGCTGCTTCCAGGCGACTTAGGAAAGACCTCCGTCCGGGCTCCCTGCGGGTTCCATTGCTGGCGTCAGTTGCCTCCGAGACATCTAAAGCTTTTCAAGCACTGCAATCAACCCAACCGGTTGCCACGAAAAGCTGTAAGAGGCTCTTCCAATGCTCCATAGAACCGCTCTGAAGCCTAGGTTTGTTTAAAACACCTATATTTGTTTTGAATAACTTCTGAAGTCATAAAACTCGGCCGTTTGCCGGCTTTGGGTCTGCCATGGGGTTTTGGGCTCCAAGCAAAATTCTGAAATGGGTTTAGGGTTTTCTCCCTACTACTTGGTAAGGACGCAGCCCGCATTGCAGGGTTTACGCTCTCACAACTCGGACACAGCCAGGCGAGATTCTTAGGTGCGGAGTCGGTGTGGAAAGAGAATAAGATCGATTCTCGCATGTGCATTGCAGGGTTTAGGGTTTAGGGTTCTGCCATGGGGTTTTGGGCTTCAAGCAGAATAGTGAAATGGGCCAGGCAACACTGCCCTCTGAGCCCCCGACCTGATGAATCACGAATTTGTCCTCTGGCACGGTTCTGTGCTAGAGGACAACGAGATCTCGCTTCAAAGCATAGTTACTCGCGTTTCCCCAAGCGCACAGGCGCAGCGGAAAATCTCAGGGCTTCTGATGGTGAGGATCACACGACCATCGCACGATGTTTTGCTGCCCGCCTGGCTAGGCCCGCGATGCAGGGGTATCACACATCTGCACTGAACAGCGACTGTGGGCCAGCTCTGCAGTCGGCTTAGCCTCTCCGCACATGAGCTCCCTGTGCAATCCGAAGCAAAAGGTGCCTCGAAAATCTCTACTCCTTGGCAAGCTTCACGGCGGGGAGTCCAGAGCTTCATGTCGCTGCAGAGCAGTGCCCCAGCTTTGCTCCGGCCTAGGAGCCAGCCTTTTCCGGCAGCTCAGACAGGGCACATCTTGTCGAGGTCGCCCCAGATGCTGTGCGCAGGCCTGCGGCTGAGCTTCCAACCCCAAAGGCCTCCTGTAAGGCGACCTCAACGAAAGACACCGGACCAGAACTCCTACGTAATATCATAACATGTCATGTTGCAGCCTGTAGTGCCCGCGAGGGAGGCCCTGGGGAAGCAGGCCGGCGAGACGGAAGCCTCCGAACAGGAGGCAGATCATTTGCACAGGTTCTAGGAAGCTACGGCAATAAAGGTTCCGATGAAGCGACCACAAAACTTATGACATGGCTTCCTGTGAGGGTTGCTTGCTCCGAACTCCAGGCAAGGCTGTTCGGGGCCACAGGCATCTACGTTGAACCATCCATGTGACGTTGTCTGGGGTTTCGACTGGAGCATGAGGACAAGAGAGACTACAAGCACTTCGGGCACGCCCCACCATCTCCATACCATACTCCCCAAGAGCAAATCCTCTAGACTTTGGGACACTAATAAGTGACCGTCAAGGACAGGACGAGAACGTGGGCGCAGCCGCCTCGGCCTCTAAAACCAGACGACCCAATGTAGACTTAGTGAAGGCTTCAAGGCTTGTGTTGCTTTTGCTCTCTGCCCACTGCCCGGATGCTGCGACTGACGCCCTTTCCGGGACCAGACAGCTGCTGGGATCCTACCTCAAAAGATACGCAAACAGAGGCGCAATTTTGCCATGCTGCGTGGGTCGCGTCTCCTTCACAAGTAGCTCAGAAAAAGGCATCATGGTCGAAAAAACACGCCAACCACTTGCCTCAAAGCATTTGGCTTCGAGGGAGCTTCCAGGGGCAATTCTTTGGGACTGCCCTCAACCCAGGGAGCTATGCCACGGATTCTACCCGGAGCGAACTCTCAGACTCTGCTCCTTACTACTGCTATCTACTGCTGCTGCTGCTCCTACTCCGCATCTTAGGAGTCTTTTTTGGCTTGGTCGTCGACAGTCTCGCACGGAGATGCAAAGGTCCGCGCAGCCCGTGCTGCATATGCCCCTGGAGGCTAAAACCATGAGGGCAGGCCCAGCCCATAATTCCTCATGTACCTCCACTCAGTGCCTTGCACCTTCGAGAGGAAGCTCGTGAGCGGAAACTTCTTGGCTTAGGGTTCGGAGTAAAGGTCGCCGCGAAGGGGGCTTTGATGCACCTTGAAAGCACTCATCGCGCGTAGCCGACATCCTCCAAGGTGAAGGGTTTCGAGCCACAGAAAAAAACCGGCAGCTTGTCGCAAAGCAGGCGACGGAGATCACCAGAGGGGCGCCGGGGCCGAGCCCAGGCCACGGATGCCAGGGACGTAGGCCACTGGCCTCCCAGGGGATGGCAGCTGGGCTGTGACTCGAAGGTCATCACGCGTCCAGTCCCTGTACCTTTTCTGATTGGGTTCTCCGTTCTCCGTACCTCGGATCTCGAATGGTTCTGGAGTCCCCGTTCTGTGCTGCGGGCTGCGGGTTCGCATTGCAGGGTAAGCCATACTGACCCAGCTTCAAGATAGCTTCTTCGTAGAGCCCTGCCAGAACAGGGCGTGGGATGCGCTCACATTTGCCCTTGGGGTGCGCCGGCAGGCTTGCCGCCAACACAGCGAGGAAGCGCACCTAGCTACTCCGAGTTGAGAGACACTGAACGGCTTGAGCCGTGGCTACTGTAGATTTGATGGGGTTTGGAACCTTTAACCTTTAAGCTTCAGGGCATGCAGGCACTTGCAGGCTTATGGATCCTGTCAGACTTAGAAGCTGTATGCTATGGGGCTCAGGATTTGGGGTTTTGGGTCTTGGGGTTTAGCTTTCGGAGTTCGGCGCTCATACTCGGCTCATACTCCTAGAACCCTTACATCCAGGAAGGGTCTGAGCTCCTTTCTGTCGGTGCCTTGTGCCAGGGACGCTTCTTGCACGCGCATCAAGGGACCCTTTTTTCTTCGCCCCGTCCTGTTCGTTGGGGGGGATTCAGAAGCTGGCGCCGGAGGCCCAGCTGCATGGGAGGTCCGGCTGGCTGTTTTCTTCCATCAAAACTAAAGTGGAGACTAACGTCCCTGAGCACGAAAAAATTCAAGCTTAATGCTTAGCTTCAGAATGCTTCAGATGCCAGCCAGACGTCCCGGGCACCTTCTGCCTTCTACACTCGCATCGAAGTGAAGCCATTCGTGATTCTCGAGATCGTGTTCAAAGCCAGGACCCGTTTCTTTTCACTACTCCAAAAACGAGCGATCTGCCTCTCGAATTGAGCTACGATGTTCTACCCCCTGTTGCCAAGCTCTCAGAGCCAGTGTCGACCTGAGCCAGGCACTGACATGACGCAACTCCAAGGCTGCACTGGCCCCCTGCAGAAGAAGGAACGCAACATCCGTATCTTACCGCCGCCGCCCACGAGGGCGACTGGCGTGTACACGTCGCCATGAGACTGGTTTTTGGCTGTGACACTTACTCTAGGTCTCTCACTCTGACAACCTTCCACATCTGGCACACTGAGATGCTAAGCTCTTACGATGCTTCACGATCGGCGAATCTCGCGCGATGGCGATCTCGAAACATGCATTGCTGCTTCTAACCGAGTAGCCTCATCCCGACGTGTCCATGGGAGCAGCGCTCTCTGCTGCCGGGGTGGGCTCCTCGGGCATGGGTTCGTCCTCTGCTGCCTGAGGCCCATGGAGCGGTTGCGCTTCGTGGTTTTGGATTGTAGCCCAGGGCTTTAGGGCTTTCGGGTTTAGGTTCGGGAACAGAACATCGCCGGCTACGACGACTCGAGCGCTGGACTGCTGAAGCTACGCAGCTTAGACGTGACGCTGCAATCATGCAACACTCCATCGCCCGATCGCGGCCTTCTTCTCCAATCCATCGATGAACTTCTGAAGATCGTCGCCCGAAAGCTCCCGGTATTTGCCTGCTTCTCTCTGCCCGCGCTGAGAGACTCAAGTTCTTCAGTCCAACTTGTGACTGTGAGCTGCAATAAGTCGATCTGTTGCTGAGATTTCAGTGCATCTCAATTGGACCCCTCAGTCAAAAAAAGCCTTCATGACCTACTCTTCAGCCTTGGAAGGACCACCTAGCATCGGCATGTTAAGCCACGTTAAATCTCCAGGGCCTCCAGCTTCAATCACGGCGACTGCAGTGTTCTTGGTCGTCAAGGACTGATCCGACGAGGTCGTCTTGTTCATGGCCTGGAGAAGTCTTGGGGCGAGCTTTTGCAAGGGCTTCAGCGCTTCGATGCCATAAACAGTAGAAGTGGAAAGTCCCAGAAAAAAAGGCCGCTATCCTTGCAGGCTGCATGCCTCAAGCTTCCTTTTTTGGGGGGTTCGGGATCTTCGTGGGATTTTCTGGCTCCCCGAGCTGGCAGCCTCCAGTCCGTGCTTGACCAAGGCATCGACATCTGCAGTCTCGAAGTCTGCGAAATGCTTCTCCTCTGCTCAGGACACTATGTATACATATATATATATATATGTGTGTATATATATATATATATATATATATATATATCTGTGTGTGTATATATATGTATATTCCAACATATGCAAAGAGCTCCGGCAAGCCACACGTCTTTTAGCCAGGAGGCCAGGTACGTCTTTGCTGAGGTTGAGCGCCCACCGATGGCCATGGCATAGTACCTGGGCAAATCGGTCTCGGTGGGGCTTCGGCTCGAAGCAAAAAGCTCGGTTGAGTCCGGTATGCTGCGAATTGCTGCCGAATGGCTCGAAGTAGTTTCCGCTGGGGCAGGTCTCGAAGAGGTGCGGGCCCTTCTCATCGCAACCAGCCACGAGGAGTCCGACCTAGACTGGCAACGAAGGAGACGCTGCCCCGAAACTGGTCATCAAACAAACGGAATCGCACGACTGGGCAACGAACACCATAGGGCCGCTTGGAGGAGTTCTGGGTCTTCTGCTGGGACTTGTCGGCCACCTGTGCCACGAGCCTGCCCACGTTCATCGCCGAGTCGAAGACGTACCGGTGGTTCAAGCACTCGTTGCGCATGTAGTCGGCCAGAACACGTGCGTCTGCGGTGAGGCCTGAAATGCCAATGGCCATGTTGTCATCGATCTTGAAGATCTTCTGCTGATGGGACGCCAGCTCTGACTGGGCTCTCTTGAAGGAGACCAGCACGACACATTCCTTTGAGCGCAAGCCGAGCACGGGCGTTCCCTGCTTCACAGCTTCCATGGCATACTCCACCTGAAGAATCCGCCCCGCAGGGCTCCAGGTGATGCAGTCCATGTCATACCTTAACAAGGCTTCTATGGTCGGATTCAGAACATGCTGGAACCAGGCAGAAATCCCTCCTCCCTGCAAATCGGGTGCTGATGATTGCGGTACATGGCGCCGACACCGGTACGAGGGACTGTCCGGTTTCTTGTTTTTGTCTCGAGCCTAACCCTGGTGGCAAGCTAACAGCTTCGTACGACACATCTATATCGGTATCTGTTGTATATCTGTATCTATACACACACTTTATCTACGTATGTATATATATATACTTATTTATACATACATACATACATACATGTATGCATATATATATATATATGTCTATGATGTGTGTATATATATATATATATATATATATATACATATGAAGATCTACAGCTGTATATAACGGTTTGTTT